TGTATACCTACTTTAAGGCTAAAAGATATAAGGTTACCCTATCTAAAGCTAGCTTATATATTTTTTTTTATTAAAGTAAAAAATACAACTTTAAAAGTATAAAAAAAGTTATTTTTTATAATATATAAAATCTATATTTATATTATTTTCTTAATTCTTTTACTATAAAAAAGCCTTAATAAGCTAAAATAACTTATATTAAGAGGCTAAAGCTTATATAATAAATAAAAAGGTATATATAAAGTAATAATCCTCTATTTCTTATAAAGATTACTAAATTTAGTTAGTTTATAGCTATTCTAGCTATTAAGGACTAAAAGTTAATAACTACTTTTAATATAAGACTTTATATACTAGTTAAAGTAATTTAACTAATTTAGGCTAGTTTTATTTATTATTTATTTATTTTTACTTAAGTAAATATACTATTTAGCTAGGAATTAGCTATTTTAGTACTAAAAAAGAAGGTAATATTTACTTTTTATAATAATATATAAAAGTATTACCTAGCTATTTATATATATACCTTATATAATAAAAACCTATTCTTAATTACTAAGCTACTTTATATAAAGCCTTTTTTTATAATTAGAGGTTATAATAACCTTTATATATAATAGTATTTTTATTAAGAATCTAGTTTTATTAAAATTATAAATATTATAATTTTATATCTTATACTTTATAGTTATATTTTATATAAGTATAAACTAGCCTTATATAACTATAAGATCTTTAGCTAAAGCCCTCTAATAGTTAATTTAATATTAAAATTATATCTTTAATTAAGGCTATTATTATATAAACTTATTTATTTATTAAGGTCTAATATATATTATATTATATTTATTTAGGAGTAAGTTAGCTATATCTTATATATTATCTTATTATAAAAAAACTCTTTAATTAATTAGGTTAATAATCTTATTAAGAATTACCTTTACTTTTACTTTTATTATCTTTTTAAACTTTAAATATATTTTAGCTTATATAATATATTTAGTGTATTAGTTATAGAGGGTTAATTTAGGAACCTTAAGTGTATAAGCTGCTTTCTATATAGGTATTTCTAGGTCTTTTTAGATAGCTTAGAGGGTAAGGATAATTTAGCTTTCTTTAGAGGAAGAGTTTATATTTATATATAAAGAAAAGGAGGTGTAAAGGTTAAAGAGGTAAAAAAGCAGTAGACGTATATAACTAACTATAATCTATAACTTACTATATAAGTACGTTATAAGACGTACTTAAGGTTATAATAAAGCTAACTAAGGTATTTAATATAAAGTAAACTACCCTTAAGGCTCTTAAAGCTATTAGAAAGCTAAGGGATATTAGTAACTAAACTAATAATATATATAGTTATAAAACATTTAGTAAGAAATTAAAAAAAAGATAATTATAAATTATTTTTTAAAAAGTTATAAAAGTAAAAAAGTAGTAAGTAAAAAGGTAGTAAAAGCTTAATAAAATAGTATAATTAGATTATAAATAATAAAAGTAAAAAGATTATTATAAATAATTAATAAAGCTATAATAATAAAAAAATAATAAAAAAAAACTTTTTACTAAAAAAAAAACCTAAGATATATTTATACTTTAAGAAAATAAGAGCTTAGTAACTATATATATAAGGGGTTAGCCTAGTTACCTTTTATAAGGCTATATATAGTGTATTTTAGGCACTTAGTGCCTAAACTAATTAATCTTTTAGTAATACTAAAATAGTCTATTAACAGGCGTAGCACACTACCTATACCTTTATAATTATTTAGGCACTAAGTAGGTCTTCTAGCTGTTAACAGGGGCTAGGTTTAAATCCCGCCTGTTACAACTCTCTTTAGTGTAGGCCTTAAGGGGCTAGAGGTCAATCAATCAGTGGGATTAGTTAGCTAGGCATAAATAAGGGGCAGCTTACGTTAGGCTTAGGAGGGACTAGGTGCAGGGAGGCAATGTCTGGCAGCTGTTGCCAGACGCCAGGCTGCCTAGGGCCTTTGGGGTTAACATGACCTTATGCTCTAGCGCATAGTTACCGGCGCTAGTGCACGTGGGCCTGAAGCGACTTAGGACGCGTCGCATTAGAAGGGGGGTAATTATAAGGGGTTAGCCTGGTTACCCTTTATAAGGCCATGTGTGGTGCATTTCAGGCACTTAGTGCCTGAACTGATTGATCTTTTGGTAATACTAGAATAGTCTATTAATAGGCGTAGCATACTACCTATACCTTTATAATATAATACTATATTACTTAAGTAAAACTAAGTATTAATAATATAATAAAGAAAGTATAAAGGTAAAGTATATATAAAAGAATATCTATAATAATAATAAAGTAATAGTATAAATAATTAAATATATATATAAGAATTATAGGAATAAAAAAACTATAAAGAATAATAAAAAAGATAATATAATATATAAAATATATTTATAAAGTAAGTATAATAAAGGTAAAGAGTTAGTAAAAATAAGGCTAATTTAATAAATATTTATAATACTATAATAAGGTCTTTAACTAGCTAGATAATAATTAGTTAGTAGCTAGCTACTAAAGTAAGAATATAAAATAGATAATATATACTACTATAAGGAAATACTATAGTAGCTAGATAAATATTAGGCCTTAAGGACTAAGGCTTTAAGGATAAGAATAATTATAAAAGTATTAAGGTATAGTTATAAGTAATTTATAATATAACCTTAGTAATTAGTTAGTAAGGACTTACTAACTTAATTATACTAAAGAGAAGTACTATATATAGAACTCTCTAGTAAAAAGTCTAGAAAGTAGAATAGACTTATCTTTTATACCCTTCTTAGTTATAGCTCTTAGCTATATACCTTTATATTTATAGTAATTTTACTATAGATTTACTAAATCTATAAGTATATTATATAGTAAATTAACTATATAATCTTATAATAGTTTTTTCTTTTATATATAATTAAAGAACTAGTTTTTACTTTCTATTATTTATTACTACTTATTAATATATATAGTTAACTATATTACTACCTCTATAATAACTAATATTAACTTTATAACTTAGCTTTATTATTATACCTACTAATAAAAGTTATATTATATAACTTACTATTAATAATAAGAAGTTTATACTTATTACTAATATTATTTACTTTAGCTTAGTAAAGTATAAAAAGTTATATATAGTATACTAGCCTCTAAAGTCTATAATATAGTTACTAGTACTAATATTACTTATATAACTAGTACTATACTTAAAATTATTACTAACTACCTTAAGTTACTATAAATTCTAATAATCTTTTAGACTAACTTATACTTTCTTTATAAGTATCTTATAAAGCTTAGTACTACTAAAAAGAAATAATTTAAAATTAATACTATAGTACTTTACTAGTTATATAAGTAATATAATATCTATAAGATTTAATAGATATAAAAAGAAAATAACCTAGTAAATAGATTTATAAAGTTATAACTAAATAAAGCACTAAAGTAACTAGTTAATAATAGTTAATTAAAAATATAAATAAATAAATAGGTTTATATATATAATAGTTTTATATATAAAAAGTCTTAAATACTTTTTAGTCTTTTGTTTTTATTATGTTATTTAGCCTTTTATTAATAACTAGAAAATAAGAGAAATTTATAGTACTTTAGAAGGTTACTAGTATTAAAATATTAATTATTACCTAAACATTAGTACTATAAATTAACACTAATAATAGCTAGAATAACTATAGCTAGTTTACTATAAGATCTACTATATCTATAAGGAGGTTTTATAGTAATTTAAATTTTACTATAGATCTACTAGATCTATAGGTATATTATATAGTAAGTTTACTATATAATATTATAATAGCTTCTCTCTTTATATATAATATAGAACTAGTATTTACCTTTATTATTTAGTATTACTTATTAATATATATTATTAACTATATTACTACTCTAGTAATAACTAATAATTATCTTACTAATCTATAGTATCTTATAGTAATAGTTACTATAAAGTTAACTACTAATTAGTATTAGTTATTACTAGGGTAGTAATATAGTTAACTATATATATTAATAAGTATTAATAAATAATAAGGGTAAGTACTAGTTCTAAATTATATTAAAAGAGAGAAACTATTACAATATTATATAGTAAACTTACTATATAATATTCTTATAGATCTAGTAGATCTATAGTAAATTAGGCTTAGGTTGTAAATGCTACTAGCCTACCAGATTATGTATTATATCACACGTGACATCCTGTACTGTTTCGTGTCTTCCTTTCCTTGGCAACAAGGAAGACGCGTCAAGGTATGTACGCTTTGTTGTCCTGTGCACTCCACCCCCCAAATCCCCGCTGGCTGCCACCCTCCCCATCGCCGCATACATGGAACCACTAACTGGTCCTTCAACTCTCTCCCCTTTCGTTTGACGGCCACTGATCCCAATGGCTTCCCATATTACCTCACAGAGCCATCGCGGCAACCGTCAGTCGGCGAAATCTACTGGCGTCGCAAGAGACGATTCAGACGATGAGCTCGGTGTCGATGATTTCCCTTGGGAATGGATTTATGACTCTACACATGCCAACACGCCCGAGCTGACTATCAACGATAGTACACATGGCCGGAAGCGCAAAAGAAGTACTGTTGAGACTCATATAAAGGGTGCTCGGATGGGCCATTTCCAGTGTCACATTGGCGACTGTGTTCTATTGAAGGCTGAAGGGTCCAAAGAAGCATGGGTTGCCATTATATGCGATTTCCTAGAGGAGGATGACGGCGAAAAGGCTGCCAGTTTCATGTGGTTTGCGACAGAGAAGGAAATCCGTAACAAGGAAAGAAAACGTTTGGACTTCCTACCTGTTCGTCCTCCCAGTGCACGATTACCTCCGCCAACGCTTACCGTCTATAGAACGAACTATACATATCTCCCTCTTGGGACATCAACCCGCTCGCCGCGATAAATGGCAAAGCTACTGTTCTATCACACCAAGAATTCCTGTCGAAGTACCCGTCAGGGAAGGTTCCACGAGCCTCGTCTGACCACGGAAAGACGTTCATATGTCGGCGCGCCTGCAACACAAGAACAGCAACGTATACAGATGAGTTTGTGTGGGAAGACGTTTATGATGCCAGCGAACAGGGCGTGTATGACTTGATCGAATTTGTGAAGTTGCACACCAAGTCGAGCAGAAATCTCCAAGCAGCAAAAGACTCAACACCAGAACAGACATATGCAACCTCGGATGGGGCTCTGGCCGCCAGGACGCCCAAACGGACAGCCCAAGCCGAAGCTTCTACACCTCGGGGGAGAAATCGTTCAGTAACAACGCCATCATCTCGGAGACGGTATGCAGTCTATCACACCCCTTGGCTAAGCGTGATTCCCCGGCTAACCCTGAGTGTTGAATTTTGAAGGATTATAGTCAAGAAAACCCTTGAGTTCACGCCCTTGGGTATCAGAAAGCTGTCACTAAACCGCCTACAGTCGTCCCCTTTCCAGTTAGCCCGGTCCCAATTGCATGTTGCCTCTGTACCGACAAGCTTGCCTTGCAGGGAGAGTGAGTTTGGCCTGGTATATTCTCATTTAGAAGCAGCCATCGCGGACGGTGTGGGAAGCTGCATATATATTGCCGGCACGCCTGGGACCGGGAAGACAGCAACAGTTCGGGAAGTCATATCTCGCCTGGAAGATTGTGTGAGAGCTGATGAACTTGACGACTTCATCTTCGTAGAGATCAATGGCATGAAGATCACTGATCCTCACCAGTCCTATAGTCTTCTATGGGAGGCCCTCAAGGGCGAACGTGTCAGTCCTACGCAGGCCATAGATCTTTTGGAGAGAGAGTTCAACAACCCGAGTCCTCGACGCACACCATGCGTGGTTTTGATGGACGAGTTGGACCAGCTGGTGACGAAAAATCAAAGCGTCATGTACAACTTTTTCAACTGGCCGGGCTTACGACATAGCAGACTCATTGTTCTGGCTGTGGCAAATACCATGGATCTTCCCGAGAGAACTCTGAGCAACAAGATCAGCAGTCGTATAGGTCAGTCAGTCGAGTGTTGAAGGTCCTTGGAAGGCGTGTGACCTCGGAACTAAACTCAGACCATAGGCTTGACGAGAATTACCTTTCCCGGCTATAACCATGAGCAACTAATGAGAATCATCCAGTCCAGACTCGAGTGCGTGCCTGGTAACGTTGTAGAGCCAGACGCTATTCAATTTGCTAGCCGAAAAGTGGCTGCAGTGAGCGGTGATGCCAGAAGAGCACTGGACATTTGCAGACGAGCCGTAGAACTTGCCGAGACTGACAGCCGCGCCGAGTCTACGTCAAGTGGCCATAAGGGACGGCGACCCGCTGCGAGTAGCAGCAAGGCACCCGGTTCGCCCGTTATGGTTACAATAGCAACTATCAAGAGAGCGATCAACGAGGCAACTGCCAACCCTATGCAGCAATACTTACAATCTTTGGCGTTCGGACCCAAGCTGCTTCTCAGCTCACTCTTGATCAAAATTCAAAGGAGCGGCACCATCGAGACGACATTCGGGGATGTCATGGACGAATTGTATCGTATCATGAAGTTAGATACAGCAGCTCCGAACTCTGCCATCATCTCGGCCCTGGCAGCTGGAACACCAGGAGGCGAGGCTAGCCTGGGGAAGGAGAGTACACGGGTTGCCGAGGCTCTGGCGCTTCGACGGGCGGCGACTGAGCTAGTGGGTGCAGGTATAATTGTTCTGGAAGCACACAAATCAGAGAGACCAAGCAAGATGCGTCTTGCTGTAGGAGATGAGGAAATCAAAATGGCATTCCGGGATGATGGTGAGGTTAATGCTTTGGGTCTATTTTTTTAGGCCCCCATACCACCACAGATGCTAGGTAGACTCAGTAATCGGGTATCTATTAGCATGACTATGCTTGCCTTGCCATTGTTGGTCAATCATGTCCTACACTGTCATACACTATAGACTGGAAGCTAGTATTTGCGTCGCGCAAGTGTTGGCTGCCAGACAACCGGGTGCGATTCCGGTGTTGCTTTCTCATCCTGCTTCCATATTTTGATGGTCTTATCAGCCTCTCCGCATATCAGACGCAACCCAGAGCGGTCAAAAGTCGAACTCATAATGCCTGCCTCGGCGTCCAAGGATCCTGGCTGTGCCGTAGTATCAAGTGCTTGAAAGCGGTAGCCTGTTTTCCAGTCCCAGAAGCTCATCGAGCCGTTGTCGCCGCCCGAGAAGAGCACATTTTCCTGATTGACACTCAGTGTGTTAATGATGGAGTTGTGGCCGTCGAAGTTTTGCATGAAGGCTCCCTCAGGGCATTTCCACTGCTTGATGCTGCCGGTGCTACCCGACGCAAAGGTGAACTCTTGGGGATGCGTCGTTAGTGCCCTGACCCCCTTCTTGTGATGCGTCAATACGCCCATTGTCTTTCCGGCAGCCAAGTCCCACAGTCTCACTGTTGCGTCCAATGAGCCAGTGATGACCTGAGGATCGGCTTCCTGGCATTTGACGTCTGATACGGTCCCGGTGTGGCCTGACAAGACGTGGATGTTGCTTCTCGTTCGCATGTCCCACACTCTGGCAACACCATCTCGACCACCAGTGACCAGTACGTCGAGTGTTGGATGGAGTGCGAGTGTGTAAACACCGCTAAGGTGCCCATGGTAATGGCGGATGACCTTGTTCGTCTCGAGATCCCAACACTTGACCATCTTGTCCTCGCCGCAAGAGAACAGATAGGGGTGGCGCGGACTGATGGCAAGGCCACGAACTGTCGATATATGCCCAGTCAAGGTAAGGCGTAGAGAGCCTGTCGCGAGGTCCCATATCTTGATGGTCCTGTCTCCAGCACCGCTTGCGAACCACTTGTTTCCAGGCTCGACGGCCAAGCTTCGTACCCACCCCAGATGACCCGAAATGACTCTCATCAGCTTCCAAGGGGGGTGCCACTCGGGCCTAGAGCCGTGTGGTGTGGCAGTGCCTGCCTGGGCCAGGCTTGTTGATTCGGACGGCGGCCTCTGGGAACTGTCTTCGATCATAATCATTTGTCCATCTTTGGCAGCAGCGACGGGGCTGTTGGGACCCTCGAGGAGCTTCTGGACGGGTTGCTGGCGAACGAGTGCATTTTTCGCGTTGGGCTGCGCCTTGATTTTTCGAGTTTTGCTGGGCGCTGGTTGTTTGGCAGCGAGGGCTGGCGGAAGCTGTTGGACATCGACATACTCAAGTCTGAAGCGGCGTTCGGCAGCTGCCTTGTCAATCGGTTTCTCTGTGGCGAGATCACCAAATTCACTTCGCTGTCCTTTCCTCGAAGAAACAGCGGGCGAATCAGAGTAGATTGATTTCGCTGTTTTGTGGTTGCCATTAATGAGCGTGTTCAGGATGGCGGTGTTGGCTGCTGGCCCAGTCGAGTTTGACATTGCGAGGTCCATTCCGGCCGAGGTTGAAGGCCAGAGTTGGCCGGAAGAATTAGACACTTCGGATCGACCGGAAAAGTTCTAAATGATGGTGCCTCGTTGTTCGCGGCGACTCGGCTTGCTGATGTGGTAGATGAATAGGGTGCTGGCTATGGTGGTGGTTTAAGCAGCAGACGGCCCTACGCGTAAAACATTGACTTGGAGTGCACATTCAGTCAATCCGACTACGGTAAAGGTACGTACCTGCCTGGACAGAATTGCACAGACCAAGCCTAGGTGTAGTCTCTAAGCTCCTAGGTACTGCGGTCTAGAGTACGTACACAGTGTGATCAGAAATGTGTACTTTGTACGTCAGAAGCTGAAGTTCATCATCTAGGTATGGTTCAGCACTGGCTTCTCAAATTTGACGCTTCGCACTAGCTAGAAAGCAACACAAGTCATCTTCGGATGTTTTTGTTGTGGAATTTATATGTGTACTCCTTCATTTTTTTGCCTTTCAAGCATCCTTTGTTTGTACTATACAACCGTGTTCTGCTCGTTCTCACCGTTGTTGTCTTCTGGAATAACGTCATTCCAGTCAACGACCATCTCGATTAAGCCACAGCTGCCTTTGTGATTCGATCCCCTTTCGGTACCCTGTTGCATATTTATCTGCAATAAAAAGTATCAGGTTGTCTTTCGGAGCATTCGCTCTGACTACACCAGACGAGACGCAATGAACGAGTCCCAGGATCAGTTTCCCCTACATACCGCTGCCCGAGAAGGAAGAGGTAAACCGCCGTATCCCCCAAAGGCCGCTCTTTTTGACTCAATTCCGTGTAGTCTCGGTTGCAGAGACCATCCTCAAGGTGCCCCCTGTCCACGCACTGCTCCGAATAGAGCAGATGCTGATAGAGTTTCTAGACAGAGCCCATGCTCGCTACTCGGGAGGACGAGGATCGCAGGCTACCGATTCACTGGGCCGCGTCATCCAACTGTATTGACATTGTTATACTGCTTGCGCAACACCATAGTTTCGATCCCGATGTCCAGGTAAGCCGGCTCATTGCATCCTCTTCTGGCCTAGTCAGCTGTGCACCCTTCATACTGATTTCGGCCCTATGACACAGGATGGCAGCGGCTGGACGCCACTTATGATTGCTGCAAGCCTCAAGGACGGCGAAGCTCTCGTAAATTTACTGCTTCAAAAGGGAGCCGATGTCAACCTCAAGAGTAAGATACTAGTCCAGCCCGTCTCCCCTTAATGGTTTGTCGTTGAGGCACCTAACATGTGGAATGGTATAGATCACAACGGACAGGTCAGTAAAGCAACATACACAAAGAATGGATTGGTGTTCTAATGTGGGCGGCCTAGAATGTTCTTCATTTTGTGGCTTCAAAGAATAATCTGGATGTTGCGAAGACGCTCATCAGTCACAATCCTCCGGTGTCTACCAGAGTTCGCGATAAACGCGGCCAATACGCCATCCACAGAGCTGCGGCCATAGGCTCAGTTCCTATGGTGATGCTCCTGATCAAGAACAAGAGCCCCCTCAACGCTACTGACGCTTCGGGCTACACGGCGCTTCATCATGCCGTTGCCGAAGGTCATGGTATGTACTGTTTAGCATACAATCTTCGTTTGTAAACGACGGGCCGGCTGCTCACACGTGGCATTAGGTGACACAGCAATGGCCCTACTTAAAGCTGGAGCAGAGGTCGACAAGAAGGATAATGAAGGTTACTTGGCCTTAGACTTGGCCCCCGACAAGGAGGTCTGTCTGGCTTTTGGTATCTGCTACGTAGATACTGACAAGAACATCGCTAACATGTCATACTTAGGTTCGCCGCTACATCGAGCGTTCCGCTGAGGAGGAAGGCATAGATCTTTAAAAACAGCCCAGTCCCAAGCTGCAGTACTTGGGTAACGACTGTTGGCCTCGACTGGATCAGGGAGGCGCGGGCTTTTTCACGTACAGGACTGGGAGGCAGTTTTTGCCTCTACTCTGGGTGCTCGTGCCACATGATCCCATTACCTCACCGTTCGCTCTACCAGGTCGCGATACATGGCCTTGACATCCTGCACGTCTGCACGCAACTCCTCTACTAGCTCGCTTTTCTCCCCAAGTAACTCTAGTGTCGTCTGGTATCTCGAATTCAAGTCATCAACCAGACCCTCCAGCTCAGCAACGCGTTTTGACGCCGTCTTGTTGGATTCTAACTCCTTCATCAGCGACACAATTTCGGCCCTTGCTTCGTCCCTTTGCCCAGATATTCGCGCCAACTCCTCACGCGAAGTTACCTTTTCCGCCTCCAGCCGACGGATGGCCGCGCTCATCCTCTCCACTAGCTGCACCGAAGGGCCTGCGCCAACCGTCGACACTGATACCATATCTTGCAACATCTGTCGAGGAGACGAAGAAGTCTCGACACCTTCAAACATGTCATCTTTCTCGCCCGCATGCGATGTAGGTGTTGGCAGCGAGTCAAGAGGCAACTCGAGCGATGTGATGGAAGGTGCTACGGGCAGACTTGAACCACTGGGCAGCATTAGTGGTCTTGCCGGAGGTTGGCTCGACATTTTCCTTCCGACTGATGAGCCCTCTTGAAAGCCGTCCATTCCGTTAGTTGGTACTGGGATCTTGCGACTCTTGCCCGACACACTCTGTAGCAAGAGAAGGTCGTTACTCATGGTGCGTGTGGGCACAGACAACAATGGTGAGTCTGGGCGACTATGTACTCTAGAACCGGGTCCAGATAGATGGTCTTCTAGCCAAGGTCGACGGTCGGATTCTGTCCTTTCGGCCCTCCATCCCATCTGCTGGTGCTTTTCAAGCTCGGACTTGGCCTGGAACAAGGCTGCCTCGGCGTTATCTGCCCGCTTCTGCAGTGCCTCTATACGTGCTTGATATGCATCAACATCTCGCTGAAGATTGGGGATCTTGCTCGTCAACTCCTGCAACTCCTCGTCCTGGCGCTTGCATCGTGTCGCCTATTAACCTATTAGCACGAGAACGCTTCAACTGGAGCCTGGCTCTATAGCTCCGAGGCATATTGTCATTTCTTACGGTCTCTCTCGCCTTTTTCCTCATTTCCGACTCTCGTCGCAGAGCATCATCCCTTTCGCGCTCAAGGTTGCCGACTCGAGCAACCAGACTTGCCTCGATGCCTTGCCAATTCTCCGCGGCAATCGCATGTTGTGTCTGTAATGTTTCCACTTGGCGCAGTAGCTTGGCCTGAGAATCACTCATGGCTCCAGACGACGCCTCCTCCGCGAGCGCACGCATCGCTTCCAGCTTTCCTTCCATTGCTTGGAGCTCCGTCTTCATTTCAATCTCCACGACACGGGTGCGCTCAGCCGCACGCGCCGCCCTTTCCTCTGCTTCGGCAGCGTTAGCCTTTGCCCTGTCGACAACCAAGCTCTTTTCCACCTGCAGCGCAGCGACAGTGTCTTCGAGGTCCTTGACACGGTGTTTCTCTGCCGTGAGCGCCTCTTTGGTGGCCTTCTCAATGGTTGAATGGGCCTGGTCTGAGGCCTTTCGTAGATCATCCCGCAATCTCTGAATTACCGTCTTGTTGGCTGACACCTCGGCACGCAACGCGTTCAACTCGTCCTGCATGCCGTTGGATCTAATCTGCAAATCCTGGTTCGATTGTTCGAGCTCATCAACACGACTGGCCCGGGTACGTAACTTGTCCACGTCGACCGTTAGCTTGTCATGGCGAGCGCGCAATTCCGCTATGGTCTTCTCGTCGCCATTTATTTGTGACCTGAGTTTCCTGATGATGGCCCGGTGTTTCTGTTCAATGGCAGCCAAGTTCCTCCCCTCGTCCATAAGGACAGCGATCTTTTCGTCTTTTTCGGCAAGCTTCCGCTCTTGACTGCCTGCTGGTGCTGCAATAGAAGACTTTCGAGCTGCATCAGTCGCATCCCGTGCCAAAAATTGCACTTTTGCCTGGAGACCCTCTAACTGCTCAATATAGCGATGTATCTCCTCCTGCTGTTCCTTTGCCGTTTGCTCCGCCATAGCCTCCAGAGATTCGACGCGCGTTCTGAATATAGAACATTGTTTGCATGCGTGATTCGTGTCCGTCATATCCTTGGATGGTGTAGTTTGTATTGTCTCAGAGTTGACCGTTACATCAGACGAAGCGGTTGTACCGCCGGCGAGTGCAGACTCCGATCTTGTTTCGCTCTGTGCCGTGGTCTGAGGCAGCTGGTCCTCCTGATGGCCTAGCGGGTCGATCGGCTTGGGCTGGAGTTGGAATTGCGTAGCATTCTCGTGGGCGACAGTCTCAACCGGCGGGGAGGTGAGCGACGGACTCGGGTCTCGATTTGTAGCGACAGTACAGTCTTTCTGATGTGTACTGGCTTCAGGACAGCCTCCGTCCGCGCTCGGTCGGGCACTCTGGGAGTCGGAGGTTATACTGCGAGCGTCGGATGACGGATGATTCTTGGCGGCCATAGCCTTGGCAAGACGCTCCTGTAAGCGGTCATTCGTACGACTGCTGGTCGAAGATCGAGGCTGGTCTGTAATAACGAGATTCAGCACAAGGAAAGAAAGGTCTTGCCAGTAGTGTGTGAAGCGACAACAACAAAAGGGAAGGACGAGTGCTACTCACTAGGTTGCTGATCCTTAGCGGCAGCTGTGGCAGGTTGGGCAGATTGAAGCAGGTTAGACCCGTTCTCGCCTTCAGCGAGTATGTTGTCGAGCCGCGCTTCCACGCCGGCAACGGCCTGCTGAAGAAAGGAACCCCAGCGCGTCGACTTTGCAGGAGCGGCCATGGCGACGACCGGGTCACGTCTGGTAAGGATAGCTTCCAAGTGGAGGTAGAATTAGGCTGGTTATGCCTCGTGGCTGTTGCGGGATCCAACGACCATGTGCATGTCGAGTACGGTCCTGTAGTTGAGCAGTGGGATCGACCAACTGGAGTTCTCGGCTGTTAACTCGCAATGTCTTGAGTGGTCTCGACGACGGACGTAAATGCCTTGAGAGCAGCTGATAGGCAGGGTGCGCGTTAACTGATCAATAAATAACAGACAGAAGTCAGTTGGTGGCTTGCAGAGGAGATACGAATGGATGGGTACTAGTATGATTTGCAGACCTTCGTTGTTCTCGGCGGCTACAAGTTTAGCGGTGATTGTATGTTGATAATTGGGTGTGGTGATAATGCGCAGCTCTCATGGAAAGGCAACGACGATGAAAGTCCAGGTGGCATGTAAGGGAGTGGGAGCAATGTCGGGTTCCGGGGCTGAATGGGTGGGTGTGAGCCACTATGTGCTGTGCTGTGCTGCGCTACGAAACGAGGTAGGCGCATTCTGTTTCCCAATGTGTGTCCTGCATTGCATGCCCAAGGCACCTAGGAGCAAGTATACTGAGGTAGGTACTTACCACTGCGCGTCTTTGCCTCTGCTAAAATATTTTGCCAGGACTACGCCTCTATACCTCTGGCACGGGAAGAAACTGTATTTAATTTTATTGCACGCATTCCAGTTTCTAGGCCTGGAGTGTTCCTAACACCAGATACTTTGAGAAGGCCTTGCAAATTGGAACCAGACATGGAAAACAATAATAGGTTGATACGCCGTAAGGGAAAAATGAAAACGACACCTCGAGAGCTGAGTCAAGGTGCAGCAGCTATGGTACGTCATATTACTAAACATCGGAGCACATCCGTGGTTTAGTGTGGTTTTTTTAATGGTTCACGGCCTGACACTGGACTGGTCCGGTGCACTTGCTTGCAACTTGCAACGTTGAAAACCCACACCCTCAACGGACATGTCTCGGGTTGAAGTTGCCGGTTGGCTCAGCTAGGTTCCCATCCTCTCCTACCTACTAGGTAGGTAGTAGCCACGTTACTGATCTAGTACTTGTTGCCGTGTTTCTACTAGAGGAACCAATTGCCTCCCTTCGCACGATAATCCTCCCTGCCTCCACCTAGCCCGGGTGACTTGCGTTACTGTAAAATACTTAGCTGCCTCTATCTCTTACAGTCTAGGCTCAACATAGCCAATCAGCCACTCTCGGGCAACACTAGGATTATTCAAACTTCCTGCCGGACGACCCGGAACATCACCACACGGGGCTTCACTCTCTCTTCATCTAGCCGTATTTGCCTAACTTTCCACTTCCCATAGTCACTCTCGAGAATTCGGTACCCAGAACCTGTGCCTGGAAATCCTCAAGTTACCGTCAGATTCCCCGAAAGGCCAATTGCAACGGCTTTATTACCGCTAGGTGTGAACCCTTACACGCACTCCATCGCTCTCAAACCTGGGTCGACTCTCTTTCACTTTCTCCCACTCTCTCCCACCTTCTTGCATTCCAAACACTCGCTTACTGTGCTGTACCAAGATAGAACGGAGTGATCCCATAAACAGTCATTGGGTTCTCGCTACGTAGCCCATCTCCGGCTCAGCCTGACCTATATACAGCTAACTCCACCCGACCGCAATGGCATCGTCCCCGTTGTTCCAGGCCCTACGCTTAGCCTACAACGAGGACGTTCCAGATGGATACTGGGGCGAGAAGACGTCTACGCTGAACTTTTGCGAAGAGGTGAGACATGGCTTGCGTACTGGATGAGCCAGCGGGTAAATTATTCCTGACTTCTGCTTACATTTCCCCCTAGGACTATGCAGTTTCGTACTACTGCGCAGAGGTCTGTAATGTGAGTGAGAAACAACATTACCATGAAACTATACCAGACTGTTGACGTTACTTGCCATGGGCACCTTCAAGACGTTTACGAATCTCCTGTTCCTCTGGCTCGGCTTCAAAGGCGTGCACAATTGCGCCTCTGAGAAACACCCGCGCATATTCCTCATCGCCTATCTGGGCTATGTTGTTGTCGGTCTTGGCTCCACGGCCTTCCATACATCATTAAAATGTACGGCCCCAGCATCAGGGGGCGCGCGATGGTCCCATTTGTGATTCGAGCGTATTACTCACAGAACCCGTCTAGACCCTATGCAGCTGATAGATGAACTATCCATGATTTACACGACTTGTCTGATGGTCTTTGCCACGTTTTCATTTTCAAAATCACCGCAGTTCGCTGTCTTCTTGGGCAGTGGCCTTGCTCTCCTGGCAGGGTTCATTACGGTGTGTGCTTTCATCGCCCTGCACCGAAATGGGACGTCAAGTTGAAGGTAGCCAAGGCTGACTCCAAATCCGCCAGTATTATTACCACCTTACAAAGGATCCTGTGTTCCATCAAGTCTGTTATGCAGCGCTTACAGCAACGGTAAAACACCTCTTCCCTTATATGCATATCGTTTCGTTTTGTTTGACATGGTGGCTGACGCTATGCAGGTTGTCCTGCGGAGTTTGTACGTGATGGAGACCCAGCTACGCCCGGTCCTAGCCAAGAGAAACCAGGCTAAGGCTCATGGAATTCTTGAGACTATGTGGATCATGGTTGGTACGGGTCTCGGCGTATTTCTCATGGGCTTTCTCATTTGGAACCTGGACAACGCTTTCTGCAGCCAGATTCGAGGCTGGCGGCGACAGCTTGGGCTGCCCTGGGGTGCCGTGCTTGAGGGTCACGCCTGGTGGCACCTGATGACAGGAATCGGTATGTGTTGCGTAAATGTTCCACTTGTCTTCCCAGTTGCGTCAATCAATTGCTGACATCGTCTTAGGAGGTATAAATCCCATGGCCTTCTGCGTCCGACAGCAGGATTAGTTTTCACTGGGCTAACGAGGCATTAGCATACTACTACATTACCTGGGGGATTTGGCTCCGTAGATGTCTTGAGGGCCGCGAGGATGAGTACAAGCTTGTTTGGCCCAGGTTGCTATCGTCGATACCACTCGTCGTCAGGAGCAAGAAGGCTGAATGAAAGCTTGGAGTAGTGAAGGCGGAGCACTATTCTAACAACCAAGGCTGTCGCACAAGGGTGTGTACTCATGAGGTTTTCAAGGACACACGGGTTCAATGATAGTGTAAGTATTGTACGGTTGTGTCTGGATGCAATCATGGTTGGATACGGTGACCTGGTCTTCGCCTGGAAAGATGACGTTCACGCAAGACTGTGGGCAAGAGGATCCTTGAGATACCCTTTCAATTGAATTGGTTTTGAAGGACATACCGACCCACCGACCTACTCATACAGGGTGTATATTTCCTGATTATCGTTTCCTTACGCAGTGAGCAGTGGATTGTACTGACCGTATTCTACTGTGTTGGACCCCGCACATGGGTAGACGGGTAGGTAAATTAGGCAAGTTATCTACCTAGTTAGAGGGTCGAGTAGACTCCACATCAGCATAAATGCAAAAAAACACTGTATAAACATTTAAGCAATGCAGGCCTTCCTCCAATATTACAAGGCCTGGCTGTCACTACCTAGTCACACAGGAGGGATTATTTTACTCACCACCACGATCATCACCCCATTCACACTAAATCGTAGTGACATCCATCCGCTCCAGAACTGCATCAGCAAAGCAAACACAAGGCCGTTATTCTTTTGCCTACGGTAATTTCAAGCTTCTCGAAATGTCTATCCCAAACCAGGCGCTGGAAAAGGTAAGCGAGGAGGGTAGTCTCCGGCCTATACGCTGGCTTGAACAGTTTACATTAGTTATGCTCACTCCGCCTCGCGCTCTAGTTGATCCGCGAAATCGAGAGCCAGGCCATTGTGGCCCAGCAGCAGATTGGTCAGGCCCGCACGCAAATGACGGCAAAGCAACGAGAAATGCGAATGGTGCGCCTGACCCTGGACGAGGTGGCGAGCCTTCCCACGAACTCGGGTGTCTACGAAGGTGTTGGTAAAATGTACGTGAAGCCCTTGCTGATTACCGTCTTCTTTTCTGTCCGCTGCAGCTGATGTTTGCCCTGGGCGGATGGCAAGAGAGCAAAACGGGAAGATGCCCAGCTCGAAAGGAATTTTGCTGACACTTGACCCTCCGGCTGAGGGGCACAAAAGGTTCGTTTCAATACCCACGCCACAGCTGACACAGAAGCTGGAGGGCCAAATCAAGGAGAAGGAGGGCGAGGTGGAGAAATTGAGCCAGAAGTTGCATTACTTGGAGACGACGTATAAGAATAGCCGACAACACATTGACCAGATGCTCAAGGCCCAGTCATGATGGAGGAAGTTGTATCGGGAAGGAGCGATGCCGGGGGACAGCCGCAGAGTCGCAAGGATTTACCAAGAGGTATGTGAGAAGGACGAGGCATATTTCCTTGTGTAATCAAAAAAGCATACGGCAAGGCGGGAAACTGATGTTCATAATCAAATCACAGCCGCCATTAAATAGGCCGGTATCACGGATGCGTCCTTGGGTGTCGCTGGATAGACCGAATCTGATCCGGGCTAGACGCCTGCCTCTCTCCGGACGTTATGCTTAGCACAGTCTCTTCCAAGATTCAACGAACAGCTGTCTAGTTTGAGCGGGACGGGCAGCATATACAAGGAAAAGCCAAGCTGGCCAACTCATGGATGGCACAAGCAAATCAAAGTCTCGCTCGGGAAACAGGATCAATGCAATCGACGTCGGCATGGCAAGCTTTCGTCCTTTGGAGAGTATGAGTAATGATCAGAGTGGGACACGCCCCTTTAAGGTAGTGTATGCGTGATTCTCGTCGCTGTCAAGAGAAATCCGAATCAAACATATATGAGAGTGCAGAGTCAACGGCGAGGGGTTTCGAGCAGAATAAGAAGAAGAAAAGAAAAAAAAAAAGCTAAGTACTCGCCCGCCACCCGAAAACCTTGATACTGATACAGTAATAGGTCATTAGTATTTGAGCAGCCATAAGGGCACCCAATCAATCGGCTAGAATTTCTCCGTGTGACCCATACTTATAAGGCATTTATACCAAAATATCATAATAACCGGGGTTCTTAGCCCTGGGTAATTTGAGGCACTCATCATGTGACCCTTGTTGCTGTTCAAATACTAATGACCTAGTACTATACATAAACGATGTACTTTCGGGGGGGAGGGATCTGCCGCGCTTGCGATAGGGTTTTGAAAATTGCTCTTCGGCTCGATGAGCCTCATCCAGCCAGAGTTGTTTCAGTAGCCGCCAGGTGGCGAGTCGGTTCATCGCAAATACTCACCTATGGTCCTCGCCGAAGCGCCAGGGAGGTGACAATATTGCTGCGGTCAAACAACCGACTTTGCATATTACCGGGCGAGAGTGGAGGGCAGTAAGCAGGGCAGCAGAGTACCTACTACCTAGGTGTGGTAGGGTACCATATGAACCGAGGGCAGCAGCAACAACAAGAGCCCCAGCTGACCACCTACGTTGACCCGCAGCTACGGTGCTGTTGAAAAACCTCGCAGGATACAAACATGCCTTTCCCCTCTTCTTTTCCTTTAAATTATTATTGCAACTTTAATTAACCTACAATCATTAAAAATCGGCTTCAAGCGGCGGCCTCTCCTGCTGTAGGTAAAACAGTGATGTGCCATTGCTTGCTCGAAAACGGCTGCCTGGTCAGCTGAAGTTGCGACCGCCAGCGGCGGCTGTTGGCCCCATTTGACAATGTCATCTCATTTCGTCAGCGCTGTCCAGTCATGTCGAATACCGACAGCTGAAAAGTGGGACAGAGCGTTCCGGCCCCGAATTGAGAGTGGAAGCTCAAGCCACCCGTGGTACCGCACCCTGGATGCCGAGGCCCACTTTTTCAGCATCGTGCAGCCCTACGAGCATGAGCACTAAGGCAAATCCAGTTGAGAAGAGGAGGGAGGGGTGGGATAAGACAGTCAGTACTCCGTAGGGGGCTAGTAAACACCCGACGAGGAAGGCGGGAGCAGAAAGACAAAACCCTTGTGGTTGATGGATGAACCGACGAATGGCCAGCCAGTCCTTCGCCCAGCCGATGCTTACTGCCCCGCCCTCCTTCCGTACAGGACGTGCCTCTGACTGGCCGCACGTAAACCGACACTCTAGTACTACAACGGGCGTCGACGTCCCCCTCTCCCACCCCCAAGCACATGGATGGTGATGATTCCTCCCGTCTATCACTCAGAGTCGAGGTTTAAGAGCCACTGGTGCCTAATTCATTTCCAGGTAGTGCAATAATAGACGCTATCGGCCAGGATGAAGTGTATCATTCGACACTTCAATTACCAGCCACTTCATGAAGGCCGTTTGGACACCCGAGGCGCCCCCTCCTAATAATCCGTTTCTCTTCTCGTCCCGAACTAAAGCAAGGCCCCCCTCCTTGGTTCCCTCCCCTGCCTCCTGGAATTCCTGTCCTTCCACCCCCCCGGTCTCCCCTTCCTCTGCTTCTGCTGCCTTCTCCCTCTTGCCTTCCCATGCAAACGTATGCATGTCGGCTGTCCCATGCAAGCCGTTCCTCTCTAGACCATGTGTTCCGACCACGGAGGAAGCATCTTATCGCCCCCATCCCCGGCCGTCTTGAGCCCTAAGCTAGGGAAAGCATAAAGGGTCACCGGATCTCACCCTCCCACGCCTCAACGCCTCCTTCCATTCTCCCTCTTCTCCTGCGTTACTATCGCAGCATTTTGTTTGTTTCGCGTGCGCCTTGTCCCCGTCTATTCTGTGAACGGGTTGATCTGCCAGGCATCAGTTTTGACGACTAGTGACTCGAGCTTGTGACAGTCACAGCCTACACCTTACGCAACCTTCGTGCTACTTCCCTTCTTTCACAATGAGTAGCTACTACTCGGACTCGGACGAGCTCGACATCCGATTCTCAAGGCGTCGAGCTCCGTCTCCTGGGCCTGTTCACTATGTCGAAGCGAGGCCGAGGCCCAGAAGCTACTACGCCTCAGCCCCTCAGCAAGCTGCCTTCCTGACCCCAGAGCGTACAGTCATTACTACTCGCACTCGGTCAAGAGAACGTTCCAGTGAGCGTCGTTCTTCTCCCCCAAGCAGCGCGCCTTCGGCACCAGCGCCGGCCCCGCCTCCTGTCATCATCAACAACCGCATCTATAACGAACACTCAGACGAAGAGGATGACCGCCACATGCAGGTCTACCACCCTCGTCACCGTTCTCATTCGCGCAGCCATTCTCCCTACTCCCGGTCGCCATCGTCTTCCTACATGACTCGAGAGGAATATGAGGCGGAAAGGGCTCGGCAGGAGCTTGCCGAGCTGAGGATCACCCAGGCACGCGAGAAGGAGGAACGCCGAATCCAAAAGGAGTATCGCGAAGAGGCCGAGCTCCAGCGTGCAAAGCGTGACCTGGAAGATATCCGAAGTCGCGAGGCTCGCACCGCCGAGGAAAAACGCTTCAAGACGCAGATTGAACTGGAAAAGTACCAGGAGGACATGCGGCTAGCAGACCTGGCCAAGAAACGAGAGAAGGAGGCCGCTGATGCCGTGGAGCGTTACAAGAGGAAGGAACAGGAGCGCCTTGCTCAGGAGAAGAAAGAGAAAGAGGAGCGCGAAAAGGAATTCCAGAGAAGGCTACAGGAAGAACGCCAAAAGGAGCTGGACCGTTTGGCCAAGGAGAAGAGGGAAAAAGAGGAGCGCGAAAAGGAGTACCAAAGACGACTTCGGGAAGATCTCGTCAAGTCAGGTCTTGATGAAAAAGCTATTGCTGCCATTCTCAAGAAGGAGAAGATCCCCGAGGCTCACACACACAGGCCGAGCCCGAACTCCACCAACACTGCATTGGTTGCGGGCAGCCGCCCGACCTACACGCGCATGGCTAGGAAACATCTGTCAATCGAGACGCTGAGAACATACCATGTTGAGTGGGAGTTGGATGTCGTACGCAAAGATTACTCCACCGTTGCTTTCGGTCAGTACTTGCTAACTCATGTGGCCCAGGATCCCGACTACGTACTCATCAAACGCTGGGTTCCAGAATGGGAGCAAGACACGCTATGGAGGCATACAAGATCACTCCGCGAGAAGCGCTCATCTAAGCTAGTGCTCGAGATCGAGGACAAGAAGTCACACAGGCACGAGCCCGAGTTTGAATGGGTCAGAAAGAAGAGTGACCGTAAGCGAAGCAAGTCGCCGGCACTCCTCATGTACCTTGCGGGTGCCAAACCGGCATGATTTACGAGAATGGATCAGATACTACGGCCACGTCAAATGTGATCACCTCGCTTTGCTCGCATGGTGGAGCGAGATGTTCAAATACTGGACATTCGTTCCAGTGTGCTCGGTAGAATTGGACTGTACCGAGAATGGCGTGTTGGGTATTTGCCACACGATGCTTATTTTGTAATTGGGTGAGGTGGGACTGTTTGTCTGGCTGCGTAGGCTCGGTGCTATGGCGCTGTTCCGTTCGTTGTCATTCCAGAGGACCAAGTGCTCTCAGCTCGTCGAATCAATTCTTCATACACAGTCCAGGCCAAGGCTGAACTCATTGCTTTCTTGCTCATTCGCAGAGCTACCCCATCCAGGAGTGACCGCACGCCCTCCTCTGTGACCATCTTACGGCAAGCCTGATACATGTTCCGGTATATGGCTGGCTGCAACTGAATCCTCGTCTTAATGGCGTCGAACGGATTCGACACGACAGAGCAAGCGGCCCCGGCCATGATGGCGGAGCTAAAGTTTACCAAGGTCGCATGTGATGTTTTGATCGTGGTGGGGTGTGAAGAGTTCTGTCCTCCTCTGTCAAAGGACAGGCCGCTGAGCCGCTTCTTCAGCAGTTCATAAAACAATACATACATGCCTGCATACGGCGCATCGCGAACAGCCGTAGCGCCGAAGCCCGCAAAGAAGCCTCGCAGGCCGTTCGTCCTGTATATGTCGGATGATGCGCTGAGAAGAGATTGGTAGGAATAGAGGTTCGATTCGTATCGAACTTTAATAATGGTCAGTGGCATCAAGACGAAGCCTGCAAGCGTTCGGGCAAGGGCGCCGGCTACCAGGTTAGACATCGGGGTGAGTGTCGGCAATGAGGACGAGTGGGCGGCATGGCTAGCTGTGGCCTGACCCAAGAGGCGCGATTGAGCAACATGTTGACGGATGGAATTGAGGGATGTGAAGTAGAGAGCTGAGCCGAAGCCGGTCCTGAGAGCAGACGGAACTGTCCCGCGCCAAAGTGTCTGGATTTTGTTCGGGGCAGCGGCGACATCTTTGAGATATGAGGCGAGGGATCGGTGACCCGATTGCTGCACACGTGTTTTTAGCAGGTCCAGCGGTTGCAGCAGCACCGCCGACGCGACACCAGAGCCAAGTCCAGCAATGAAGTGCCGAGCTGGAGATATGAGACGAACAGATCAGCTTGAATAACGGTAGGGGGGTGATGGCTCGAGCAGCCATGACGGTCATAATAATAACAGGACAAGAATGCAGATATGAGGTACCAGGATGCCAAGACCATGCGGACTCTCGGACTGGCCCTACCAGCATACGATTGTATCACTTACATGACTTTGTCCGGCCAGAGGTTGTCGTCGGTTGAGACATTGGGCCCGTAGGTGATGTCTGCCGTACCATTGGAGTAGATGTACTTGGCTGGACCAATGGAAGAAAAAGAGGGAGTTGTCTGTGAGTGGGTTTAAGTGTGGGTATGATTTTCGGAAATCGGAGCCATTATGTCTCTGTGTTAAGGTTTTTGAGTGCGTACGGGATGTTCTCAGTTTTGTTGCGATGATACGTACAAGAGGAATCGCGAAATCATGATGACTTTTAACAGAGCAACCACAGGGGTATTAGTGGTACCTGAGGAAGGTGTTTACTCACCGGCCAAAGCAGGTGACGATTGGCAGGGAGTTGGGGACTTGTACGTAACAGAGCTTGAGGTGAACCATACTTGGTATCCGTAAGTTGTACTAGATATAGTTATATTATGCTTCTATCCGAGCCGTTCAGTCCAGGTCTTGTCTGACTTACAATCACCGCAGTGATGCCATCAGCCCGGTCACTTGAAAGCAGCATCTGCCCTCTTCTACTCTTCCCTCCAAAATAAAATAAAATAGCGAGGATTATCCTTAGCCGCGACTAGTAATTCCCGTATTTTTCGTTTTTGTCTTTTGGGGGGCATATTTCCCACCGTGAATAAACAAACCATATGCCTTGTTGAACCCGCATAATAAGAACGGTATCAAGAGCTGGCATTGTTGGTTCCCCCGCGGCCGTCTTTGACGCCGGCTCCAGCTATCTTGTAGTCACCAATGACTGACTCGAGGCGCCCCGACAGCAATCGGTGACGCTTGACTATATCAACCCATTCGGACTGTTTCGTCACTCCCTCGCCCTCGTTACTAAACCCAGCTAGCAGCGTACCAAAATCGCCTCCAAGCCTGCCCAAGCTTCCTGAGCAGTACAATACTTGCGTGAGAATGCTATCTCGTGCTGCCTGATCCCTGACGGTAGGGAGATATCTCCCCAAGGTCTCGAGTAGCATCTCAACAAGGTGAAGTGGGAAAGTCGACAAAGTCGACGGTAAGGGCTGGAGAGGATCCTTGGCGTCGGCATGAGGTCGGCTGGCCTGATGACTTGTATCGGGGAAGATGCTCCTAAACATGGAAACGACCCCGAAACTCTGCTCCCGAAAGATTTCGACGTAACGTTTGAGGTACTTTTCTGTCTGCTGACCGCCGGACCAGGACTGATTGTTAGGGCTTTGTTGCCTGTGCTGCTCCTCATCGGCCAATTCGCGGAGGGGTTGCAGGGCCCCCAGAGTCGCGTCCAAGGTCGCTACTCGACAGCAAAGGAATAGTAGAGAGAGCGTATGCTCCTGGGACTCGCGACTCGAGGAGCTCATCGAGGATAAATCAGGTAGTACCCTCCTAAGCCAGCTGACGGTGCGTAGCGATGCAGCCAACTTGAGCCCTGGAGATTTGAGAGCAGAGATGAGGTCAGCCGTCATTTTGATGATGGCTTCATCGGCTTGGCGGGAAACCAGATCAACCAGTGGTGAATCCGGGTACAGGCCATGGAGTCTCCGGATGTGGGCATTGAGATCAAGGGCCGAGGCGTAGTTGGCAGGGACAGTGTTGATGGCTGATGAAAGGAGGGTTGGAAGTTCAAGCACGTCAACAAGGCGCTCAACGTTGCGGAGTAGCAGCAGAGCACGCTTTCTTTCTGCTAAGTCCTCATTATCGCTAGTTTTGCTGTAGGTGGTAGAAAAACGCAATGCCTCTAAGTCAAGCTTGGGGATTGCATTGCGTAGGTCTGTAGTATCCACGACTAAAGTAGGTAAAGCGTGGGTTAGACTAGCATGATGCGAGGCCGAGTCGATGATGGACCTGTGAGAGCGTTTCGCGACATCTTGAAGTGAGAGAAGGAGTGATTGTGAAGACTGAGCTAGGGATTGAGGCTCTGTCGATGTCAGGGCTGCTGGACTTTGGTCCGCGAGATGAGACAGATAAGCTAGCTTGGTTGACCGCAATGTCGGTTTGGTCTCGGCTATGGGAGGCTGCCGTGTGTCGAGCAGATCAAGAAGAAGATCAGCCATGGTTGCACTTGTTGATGCTTGGATATTCACATTTGAAGGCTGTGATTGGGCTGTGGGCGACCTCGTTGAGTATTCGAGGTCGCTGACGAAGGTGGTTCGATTCTGAGGTAGGTAGGCGGTGGGCATGAACACAATCGCCAGCTCAGCCAGAAGAGTATGTGTTTAAGAGGGACATCGAGAAATCGGGGTTACATGTAAAGCTGGCTGAGGTAAGCTCGCTGATGTCACATGCAGGTGCGAAGACATGTACATTCAATGCTTCGCCGTCTGCATGCCATCATTGAGTTCCATCGAGAAATTGCTTGCCAGTTTCTAAGACTATGCGGGTATTTTCTCTCTCACAAAGTAGATCATTTGTCCAGAATATAGTCAAGGCCACATGTTGACTGGATATTCGTACTCGCCTCACGACCATGTGCAGATCCCTCCCCCACATCCCTTCCTGTTCCCATGTTAAGCCCATCTGACGCCATCACGGGTTACTGGTCTTGTTCCCGCGTCCTACGTCGGTGTCATAGCTGCTGCTGCGTAGAAGACCGGAACACTCGCTAAAGCCCCTCAGGTTGCCGTCCCGACCCAGCTGATGTAGCCAGTGACACAAGCTAATGTACCCGAGAACAGCTTGACACGACGCCTGGTCATGGAGTGCCAGAATGGATAACTGAGGTACGTATCCGGGGCCCCACCACAAACGTCTCTAAGGGTCCTCCTCCATCAAGCTTAGCTTCCCCCAACAATCCTCCCAGCTCCCCGCGTCGAGGTGATCTTACCTCCCTACCATTTTCCAACTTCTTCCCTACCTCACGCGCCTCCCAAGACCTTCAGTCACTTTGCACGCCTTCTGAGTCCAGCCTCGTTCAGTGGTCTAACCCGGTGACAAGCTGCTCTACCTCCCGATAAACATCTATTGAAAAGGGATCGAGTTCCTGCGCTCAGTCTTACGAGTAACCTGCCCGCCTGCCGTCGACCTCTTCCACCCGTCTTTGTGCCGCCTCTCCGACAACGATCTGAACGAAAACAACACGAGAGCGATAGCGTAGAATGAAAGACCCTTTCTTTATCGAGCCGCTGCCATGGCTCGTCAAGGCAACACAGCCCTTGGCCGACTACTTTTCTCTCCCAACCCTGCCGATACATGTGCATGAGGTCTTCGCTGCCGCCTTGCTGTACTCTGTTATCTACTACCCGGTGTCGCCACTGCTATCCCGGTTGATTGTTGGCCGCAAATATCTCGACCTACCCAGGAAAAGACGGATCAATTGGGACGCACATGTCGTTTCTCTCGTTCAGAGCACGCTCATCAACGCGCTGGCCATCTGGGTCATGTTCGTCGACGAAGAGCGCAGCCAGATGGACTGGCAAGGTCGTATATGGGGTTACACTGGTGCCGCTGGCATGATTCAAGGCCTTGCCGCTGGCTATTTCCTCTGGGATCTTGTTGTAACTAGCTGCAACATGGACGTCTTCGGGTTTGGCACATTGGCCCACGCCATCAGCGCCCTCTTCGTCTATTCGCTTGGATTCGTAAGTTTACCTCGTGCGAACCCCTCATTTTCACACCCCCCCTGACCGCGGTTTTCCAGCGACCCTTTCTCAATTACTACGGCTGTGTCTTCATTCTCTGGGAGTTATCAACACCCTTCCTCAATATCCACTGGTTCTTCGATAAGCTAGGAATGACCGGGTCCCGCGCGCAACTTTACAACGGCTTGATACTCCTGTTCACTTTTTTTTCCTGCCGTCTAGTCTATGGAACATACCAGTCGGTCAAGGTGTTTTCTGACATTTACGCTGCCATTAATGTCCACCCTGTTTTGCCCAAGGATATATCTCCCGAAAGAGACGCCGTTCTTGCCTCGACAGGCGTCATGAGATTTGCGACAGAGGCGTCAACGGTTCCGACGTGGTTGGCAGTGACGTATCTCATCAGTAACCTGACTCTCAACAGTCTCAATTTTTATTGGTTCATCATGATGATTCGTGCGGTTCGCAAGAGGTTCCAGCCGGCCAAGTTGACAGACAAGACCTCTCAAACCGAATCCTCGCCCATTAAGGTTACCGCGCGATCTGGGCAACCCACCATCCATCGACGCAAGGCTTAGTAGAGCGAACTGGGAGTTCGGCCCCATGCGCCTTAGTTGATTTTAAGTCGAACGTGTGGGCTCGTTTTTTTGGACCACGGTCACTCGGGAAAGGCGAATGGTAATAACGAGTAATTGGGGAAGAAGGGTTTTATCAACAGAATATCTGTACAACACCGCATTTGCTTACCTTACGGCTCGAAGTTCTATATACTCGGTAGATTTGCACATTTTTAGGGTTGCGACGCCACGCTGGCTCATCTTTATTGGCTGCATTGTGCCGTATCGTTCTTCTGCATGTGGTAGTCCCAAAAGAGATATCCATCAATAAATACACTGGGAGCCCACACGCCTGCATTGAAGATGGTCGCGCCTTACTGTTTGGATTCCCTATGCATCAATGGATTAGGCATCTACTGCTTGTCCTTAACCACAGGGCCAATGGGCCCATTTGGATAAAACGCTAGTAAAAGACCAGTTTCTCTGGTTGGGCTGTAATATGTCTGCGCCGGCGAGGCAACGAGCAGACATTTTAGTATGCCTTGTGTACCCTTACGCACCTTTGCCTATTCTCAGCTGAAGCAGCACTCTGCGATACGGGAGGCACAGCAGACCGGTTCTATCTTGGCGTCGCGGTTCAAACAAAGCTCGTCTTCCGTGGTCTTACATAGAATGCATCTGCTGCAACATGAAAAGGAATGATATTAAGTACATCTAATGCGTGAAGTCTGGTATGACGGCGGTGAGCATGTCCGCAGTGCGCATATGCTATGCTGGAATATCCAGGAAAGTAGAAAAAAACGCAGTAAGAAGTTCGCTCGCTCCGATTCGGAGCATACAAGCCTTCTTGCCCGTGGAAAGCATGCACAATCAGAAACCGAATGGATTATTAGGGGCTTTATATCAGTGTCAGCCGAGCCTCTAGCAATCTTGATTATGGTGTGTGCGACGTTGTTGACTTACTTGCTTGAGAGAGATTGGCCCGCCGGCCCGTCGCCTGCGGCATCAACTTCTTTGCATCTCCCGTGACGCCGAATCGGACCGGAGGGGGAGGGCCTGTCTTCTGCGGCCGCAAAGGCTGCACCGCAGGCTGCATAGAGCCACTTATGTTATTGAAGCCGCTCATGCCGGTTTGCTGAGGCTGGAACCCCGGCATGCCCGTTCTTTGCGGCTCCAAGGCGGGAGGCAAGAAGGAGTTGACGCTACCAGTTCGCTGAGGATTGAAGCCATGCACTGCACCAAATTGAAAGCCCGTAGGCTGTGCCTGCATTGAAGGGAACTGGTTTTGTCGCTGGGGATCTGCGAAAGGACTTTGTACAGGCACACCGGTCATCATTGGCTGCATTTGCTGCATAAACTGACCACTCGTTTGCTGCATGCCGGAGCTGAAGCCCATGACCCCAGGAACCGGTTGTTGCTGGGGGACCGGGTAAGGGTTTATCTGCTGCTGAGGTATCTGCTGCTGCTGCATGGCATACTGTTGCTGCAAACGCGCCTGATTGATATCGTTCAGGCTCTGGCCTGGTGGTGCGACTTGCGTCTGAAATGCTTGAGGGGGCATGCCAGTCATCTGAGGCATTAAGGGCGGGGGCGCAAATGCACTCGACTGGGCCGACTGGGGCGCTGACAGAGGCCTCGCGGGTGGAGGAGGCATCAGAGAGCCGGAACTTGTGGTGGTCTGCGGTGGAGCAGGTCTTTGCCTTTGCATCGCTTGCTGTGGTGTCTGCATACCGGTAGGGTTCGGCCGGATCGTATCAAAGAATGATGGTGTAGCTCCCGTGGGCTGGGGAGCTTGCGCCGGGGCCGGCGGTTGGCTGACAGCCGGGCTCGGTCCGGACGGCTGAGCTGTCCGCTGCGGTTCTAAAGGTTTTGTCAAAAGCGACAAATCCTGCATAGAACCGGTGAGAGCTGGCACTTGTGCAGCCGGCGCTGGCTGTCCTGCAGGCTGCGCCGGTTGTTGCACAGGGGCGGGTGTGGTTGTAACTGCAGGACGTGGTGGCTCTTGGGGCTGCTTCGACGGCTTTACATCCCATGCATCGTCATCAAAGCCACTGGTTGTTTTGGCCATCGCAGGAGTTGCGGAGGCCGACGCGGGTGACCTTGTGTCAACGTCCTCGGCGGAGTCAACGCCCTTCGCGGTAAATGCCTTGGGATCAACGACGTCACTCGTTTGAATCGCGGGCGCCGGCCTGCCCTTTCTCGTATTATTCCGCAGGGCACCGCCTGGACCAGAGAAGAGACCACCCGGCGCGCCATCGCCTTCACCATTAATTTTATCAGTGCCATTTTTTGTCCGGCCGAATTTTTGATCCAAAGTTCGCATCACCTTGAGGACGTCTCCCTCGCGCAGACCCAAGTTGCGAAGCACCGAGGCGTCGACATCCGGGAGAACGCTTTCATCCATTGAATCCTTGGCAAAAGCTTGGGCGTACCGTTCGCACAATCCCACGGCAACATCGCAAGAAAGGAAGAACTGAAACCAATCGTAATCAGGCTTCTGGGGTTGTCCGACGGAAGCGCCAAGTCCGACAGGGGGCGATTCCCTGGCTGCACCGGCTTGAGAGGCCCTGGTCTTCTTGACGTTGGACAGCGGCTTGTCCTCATCCAAAGAAATGCCTGTGACACGTTCGACATATTCAAGATCCTCAACCGACATCTTGGCAACGGGGACTGCGATCTTGACACCGTTCATCTTGTGCAAGTTGATTTTGCCGTCCTTGAGTCCTAGAAATTGTGCATCGACGCTGAATGACTTCGAACGGTCCGTCCACGTGCGTACTTTGGCGGGATCCGGCTCTGTGACGCAAAAGGTCAGCAAAATGAGCAAACCAAATATGAGCCCCAACATTGATCTTACTGGATTTACCAGACCGGCCTTGGCTGCCGCCCTCGCCACGTCCGTTTTCTTGTTTGTTCCGCTGCCCAGAGTTATTACCAGTTTCTCTTGCCATAAGACTACTGCCTCGCTTTGGTAGAGGCATTCCCGGCCCTACCTGCTGTGAGCTGTCTCGCTGAGCGGCCTTGACAGCCTCCTTTGTCAACCTGATTTCTTCCAGCCGGTTTTGTTCGACAGTCGACCTCGCCGCATTTAAACCGGTATTGCTCGGGGGCGGGGCGATAGAGCCTGTAACCTCAATATAACTGCTTGGAACAACACCCTCCTTTCCGTTCCTGACGCGTCGAACTTGCCACCATTCTTCGCTTTTGGAGTCGTCGATAATTATGACATCGTCACCGACAGCGACGGTCACCTCGTCATCTCCCTGAGCCATGAAATCGTAGAGTACTTGGCCCTTCTTCTGGGCCTTTCCAGAACCTGCCAAGATGACCTCGCGCAACCCCTCAGCCTTGACAGCCCCCGCTAGCTCACCGAGTGCGCCTACGATTTCTTCAGCCGTATCTTTGGCGCCAGCGTGGAAATCTACACTCTTGCTTGGCCTCACAAGCTCCATGAAGACATGTTTTCCCTCTCGAGAGTAGTGTGTCATTTTATCTGCTGTCCATTCCTGAGATGGACCGTCCGAGGCACGTTCAGGGGCGATCAGGATGTTGCCCGTTGCCAAGTTAATACCCAGGGTAGTGGGCATCTTCTTCCGCTTGCCCATTACGGACACCATCTCGTTAATGTTGTACATGTGGAAACCGCCAGGGGCACGATAGGGTGGTTCTTCGACTACTTCCGAGCTATCGTATAGGTGAGTGTCTATTGACCTCTGGGACTGGATACGTGCAGGCGCAGCTTGAGAAGCCGGTCTCGTAGGAAGAGCTGGGCTTTTGATCGGCTCATCATCCGACGGCTCCGAGGCAGGAGACTGCGGTGACATCGGAGGGGTCGCAGCGCGTGGAGGTGGGGCAGAACGGCCGCCCATGACGCCTGCTAGAGCTGCTGCGGGATTGTTGGCCTGGGAGCTGGCGGGTGAGTAGGTAGTCTCCGGCTTTTCAGAGTAGCTGTCTGCGTCGGTAGCGGTAGAAACAGCACGAGATGGCAATGCCGGGGGAGGTGAGGGTAGAGCCTCAGACTCTTCGGCTTCGGCCATCTCAATGTAATTGGCTGGAACAAAACCAAAATCGCCATCTAGACCAACCAGAATCCAATCAGGGTCCGATGTATCGTATACGTCGAGGACGGCATCCTCGGGAAAGGAAAGCTCCTCATCGGTCTGTCGGGTGTATTCGAACAGTGCGCGAGCCTTTCCAATGGGTTGCGCCTAATAATAATAAAACAGGATCAGAAACATGATGCGGCATGGACGATACGAAGAAAATCCAACGCGCCTACCTCTTGGACGTAGTTATTGGGGACGAGCCCCTCTGGTTCTTCTTCGTCGTCGCCACTGGCTTTCTTCTTGGCTTTCCACCAGTCGTCTTCGGCATTCTTTTCCAGTACATAGAGAATATCTCCCTCACTGATGGCGAGTTCGCCCTCAGCCTGCGGCACGTAATCATATACGGCCTTGTAGACTCCCAAGAAACCCATGTTGGAGAAAGTGTGAGCAACCTGCTTTTGATGCGTGGTTCAAAGGATTGTGGGCGTTGCTATACGGGCAAAGGCCGCGGACCATAGACCAGAGCAGAGTTGCAGGTTCGTAGATAACTGCTTCACCAGCAAGCACGGCACAGTCAATCCCTCTTCGACGGGCTCACTGTTCGCTGCCGGCGGCCCCGGAAACAGGCGGGTTGTGGGAACTCGTTTGATTGGACAAGCTGGTGTTGTAGATACTCCTAGAAGTAAAATATCTTGGTTAGCTCTGGTCCTGGAAGACAAATGGGTTACGTCATGAAGGGACACGTCGAGGTTAGCTGGAGACGGGTGATAAAAGCACTCGACGCAGTGGGGTGCCAGATGGAGGCGATGCGATGCCAGTTGACGTGGACGTCCGCCGGCCTGACGATAACGAACGGCAAGACACAGGGTACAAAGCGTAGAAAGACGAGACGTAGAGCAGAATAGCGCAGAAAAAGGTGGTGTGGGGATGATGGAGGAATCGCAATGCGCGAGGAGCGGCGGAATAGCTTACAGGTCGTAAGATTTAGCAGCAGATACACGGCAGATCTGTATATACGAGATCGGATGTCGCTATTGCAAACGCCTGTCGGGGCTTGGAGGATGACGACGCTGAACAGAGCAATGTTGGGGTGTCGAAGATAGCTGTGCTACGGGGGAAGCCTTGAATGGTGATGAATCCGTAAACGTTGGGCGGATACCTGGCAGGCTGAGGCAAGAGAGATGAAAGGACGAAGGCAGGTTCGCGCTCGAAGCAAAGTAAGGCAAGGTGTCTATAGTGTCAGGTGCGATAGTGGATGTGTGTGTGTATGCGGTGTGTGTCTCTCGACGTGCGCTTATCCGTAAGGCATTATTGTTACGTCTGCCGATGGTGAGTGGTAGAGAAGAGGTCGTGGCCGTGGCCGATCGTGGTGCACTTGGAGTCGGAGAAGCTGGGTTGGGCCCGGGGAGGGGACAACTGATCAGACTGGGTCGGAGCCTGTGGAGAAAAGTGACAATGAAGAGGGACTTGGGAGGTTGGTGCTACTCAATGCTGGCTGGGGCTGGGCTGGGCTGACGCTTTAGGGTCCGCTAAGGATACTGTGGATAAGTGGCTGAAGAACTGCCAGCACAGGTACTTGCATAAAATAAAAGCACAGTCGTGACGGACCTGCAATGCAAGCCAGGTAGGTACCTACGTATGACGAAATTGCTTAAAGTACCATAGAGACCGAAATCTGCTATAGAGATACTTGTTTTTTTCACGTCTCCGCAACCAGCTGCTGCACAGACAGATAAAGCCTGCGATGCTATGAGAATCTTAACTCATAGTGTAGGCTTGCAATCTGAGTGGGTTCTTTTGTTATTCTTGTTGGCTATCTAGGTACTATACTTGGAGGTTAGTTGCCTTGCTTCAATCGCCCGAGTCGCTGACACAACTCGACGAGATTTCCAACAGCCACACACAGCCTGATTGGATCGGGTCAAGTCCATAAGTTCCGACTACATCATGCTGCGACTATCGAGGTATCACGATACTCTGACCCATTGTACCCTATCCCATATGCCCCGTTCCTGAGCATTCGCGATTTGGCATCTGAATCCGTTGCAAGCTTGTCCTCACTGGTTGCTGCCCACCTGGCCTCGGCTGAAGACCCCTGGGAACAGCTTGGGGTCTTGCCCTGATGTATGGGCATTAGCCGGCCATGGCCCTTCTATGGACGGCGTAAGGCTGGCAGGAGAAGCGACCACATCGTTCTCGGGAACCGCCGCGTTGCCAACATTGCCTGACCAAGCCGCCTTCTCATTTCGCACATCGGAAGCAATAGTAGCAGCGGGCTCGCTACCCGTGTTGGTGTGTTCGCGGAGTACCGCCGACTGGTGTCCGCCAATGATGCTTTGGGCCACGCTCTGTTGGTCAGCGGTAACAGTGGAATCAGATGACCCCTTGGCGCCATAGGCGATGTATTTGTGAAGCCTGTCATCTAGGTTAGCATAAATTACTTGATTGGCATGTTTGCCGTGGAACTTACATGTCATGCTCCTCCCTTAGGGTTTGATATCTGAACTCTTCTCGGCGATCTGGCACGTTGGTCTTCACCATAGCATTGCCTGCTTTGCCAGGGAGCTTGAAGTTGGGCCCCAGCCACTGTTCCTTGATCGCACTCTCAAATCCACTCTGCTTGACAGAATTCTTTGCAAGCTCGCACATGTCCACCGGACTCAACTTGTAGATCTGAGCGGCCACAGCGTACTCTTCCATGAGTGGTTCCTTAGTAAAGGCGAATTGCAGCGGATCGTCTGTTGAAAGAGACACGTTCAGACCGCGGCGGAAGTATTGGTAGAACGGGTTTCTTTCGTAGGCGAGGAACAACGCGTTGTTGCTCAACGGCGACATGGCAATACCGATCTGCTCAAGGTAGAAAATGTATTGCAAGAGCGGAACCTTGCGCAGCAATAGGCCGTGGCTAATGCTGTGGCAACAGAGGAGAGCCACAGCCAGGTGCTCGCTGTCGCCGGCTTCACCACAGTGTGGCCGCATCACGAATGTGTTAAACCCCCGGCGTTTTCTTAGCGCGTTGAGAGACGACATGTTGGCGAACAAATAGTAAATCCAGTAACTGTACGGAGGGTTCTGCTTCGAATCCCACACCTTGGGAACTGGAAACTTTTTGAATAGACGCCTTTCCACCTTACTCTCATCGTCGACGCTGTCGAAACCAATAACCCTTTGCAGGAAGACGTGAAGCTTCGGATGGCTCGAAGGATCCCTTGACACCTCGAATAGAGGCTCGAAGACGTTCTTCACCACTTGCTCAAATGTGTCCATGAGACCGCTCGCCTTGTACACATCGTACAAGCGCGGGATCTGAATGAGCCAGCGGACATTGTGAGAGAAGAGCTTGTTGTCCACGACCCAGGCGGCGAGCTTGTCCCACTCGTCGAGCGATTTACCGTAAATGGAAATCCGCCATTCTACCATCTGGTACTTGCTCGACTCAAGATCGGCAATGACCTCCTTGGTGATTTCGGCCAAGTACCGTCCGTTGATAAAGTTGTCCGTCTTGAGAAATATTGTTCGAAGGCGAGACTCGCCAATCGGGTTGTACTTGAGATTGAACTTATCGAATCTGTGAAAGGAATCGGTGTGCGCCTTTGAAGCTTTATTAGCAGTTGCGTTTACAGGCCCTGCATTAGCCTTTGCTTCGAGGGGCAGACTTACATGCATATCCAAGGTATCGATAGAAAGGTCGTATGCGGTAAGGTTGATACTTTGGAACACCTCTGCCAGAGTAAGATGGCGGTCGTCGCGGTAAAGCACAACCTCATCGGGGTACTTCTTCATCTTGCTCTTGATGAAACGCAGAAGATGTTTCTGGTTCATGCAGGCAGAGTGGTGAACGTGGGTGTCGACTTTGCGCACATTATAAAAGTCTCTGTGGGGAACCTTCTTGCTGTCCGCCGTCTCCTGGTACTCGTTGAGTAGCGCGTACAGGTTAAACTTGCCCTCGAGATACTGAAGGCGACGGAAAGCAAAGCTCTTGCTAGGACCATCCGAGGAAATACTTAGGATCTGGTCAAGATCCATGTAAAATTCACGGATAGTAGGAACCATAATGACAGGGTTCCCACTGGCCTCGGCCGCTTCATCCTCAAAGACTTGGTACACACCACTGTCGTCGAGCTTGAACCTTGTCTTGTCAGCCGAGGGAAGGGGTAAGAGATCGTCCATTTTGAAATCCTCGCCAATGTCTTGGCCAGGCTTTCGCTTCTTGGCCGTTGGCTTCGACTCAACGCCAGGTACCTGGCGGCCCGCGAGGTCATCAGCGGCAGGAGGCAACACCATGCTACCGGTCAGGCTGTTGGACGTGCTGACGTGGTGCTCGCCGGGGGCGACGGCTCTTGCGTGCTCTGCTCCCCAGGCTGGCTGGGGCGGAGGTGGATATATTGACCAGGACGGATCATCCCGAGGATTGTCGTCCGGCCCCTGAAGTGATAGCCCAATATACCTCTCTCGAAGGTCCATAATGCTCTGAATATTCTTGGAAATGGCACTGAGCTCAGCCGTGATGTGCGGGTCCGTGTCCGAGAAGGCGGCTACACCAAGGGCAGGATGATTCGGGGCGCGGACATTGGAATCAGTGTTGTGATCCAAGCCCACATTAGCAGCTGGGCCACGATTCCCAAGCGGTTCAGGGCCATCTCGAAGAGGATGGTACCGAGGAGGCGGGAGGCTCTCCAAGTCAGTAGTTTGGCCAAACCGCTGTTGAGTCGGTTCCGGCAGCATCGCGCCCTCGTGTGCCGCGGCCTTTCCCTTCGATATGGTCCGTTCTTTGGCCAATGGGGACGAATCCACAGGGTACTCGAGACCTCGAGGGCCGGCAGGGATATCACGATGCTCGGAGCCAACAATTACGGGGCTGCCGTGAGGGGGCGTCGAGTGGCCCTGAGACCACACGCCACTGCCTGTCTTTAGCTGGCCGATTTGGCTCCGCTGGTAGAAAAGTTTGGCGTCTGTCTGGCTCATCTGGCGCTCCGCAACAGGATCATAAAAGGCGGTCCGCGTGGGAAGGTCACGGGGAAGCATGCCATCTTGCAGACCAGCTAAGTCGTGTTGCTGTCCGTGGGAGGACAAAGGGTCCACATCTGACGGCAGGGCGTCGTCCTTGGTTTGCTCTTCTGACCCCTCGGAACCTGTGTCACCTCGGGAGCCTTGGGCAGCCAGTTCCCCGTCGGAATCGGTGTCCACGTCATGGAGCGAGAATGTGGTTCCTCGCTTAGGGGAGGTTGAGGCGGATGTTGGATCTTTTCAAAGAACTCATGTGTCTGAAGTAGAGATGTACTGTCAGTATGTGCACGAAGCTGGGCGACATATGACAGACTCGACGGTCGCAGTTCGGAAAGACGAGCAGCAACTTACCAGCGTGAAACAAAACCACCACGTCGGTTTGGGGAAGAGTCTTCAAAAGGGTACATACCAGCCATGTCGATAATCTAGCCTTTGAACCCTGCCGTATAGTGCTGTAGAGCTCTTCCCCCCCAAAAAAAAGAAGAGAAGAAAAGCTAAAGCAAACATCCGCGAGTGACGGCGGCAGAATTATGTGATAAGATCTTGGCCTATCGCTATCGTAGTGTTCGCTTAATCGCATAAAAGTAGGATACACCGATTGGACAAGAGGAGGGGTAGCGGTTAGCTCCGACCTCCGCCGACGCGGCGGGGTCCTAAAACAGTGGAATGGACCGGCAGTACGTATATGAGGCTCACTCACGAGGTGCAAAGCACCCGTTGCCATTGCTACCCACAAATCATTGAGACTCTCGAGTATGGACCGCGAAAATGAAGCCAGCTTGACGGGTCAATCGGGACTTGCTTTTCTCAGTCTCCCACAGTGGTCCTGGAGAAATGCGGTAATTCATCTATTGTGGTCGATGAAAGCGTCTCTATGCATGCCTTACAGCTCTATTTCGTACCTGAGCCCTTATGCACTCTCGAGGTCTTGGCTCTGGAATCTAATGAGTAGAGTCCACCCGCACCAAACACGACGATCGCCCCAAGCAGCGTCCCCACAGCTAGCCGGTTACCAAACAGCCATATACTCAAGAGCAGACTGACTAATTTGCGAATATTCAACACGATGGTAACGGTCAATGCCGAAGACACGGCCGCTAGAAGATTGACACCCCTTATACACGCGTACTGGGTAAGAACATTCGTTGCGAGGTAGGCAAGCTGGCTCGGGACGTGGAATCCAGCTGTTTCCCCTTCAGTATTTTTGCCTAGGCCAAGACCGGAAAGATGTGCCAAGGCAGGTAACGACAATGGCGGGCTGCTGGCTAACCGTCGGAATTGACGGATCAGCGACGGCGCAAATGGGAGGAAAAGGGGCAGAGATAGCAAGTGCGAGTAGAACAAGTTCTCTCTCCACTGAGGCCCGTATTTTTTATATGTCTCCTCGGTATAGAGGCCCATGATGGCGGAGAGAACCTGTGCCACGAAGAGGATGATCAGTCCTGTTCCAAAAGCGGGTCTATCGCTTCTCTCAGCGGTCTTTGAAGAGTCCTGTTGTAGTTTATATCGTCAGCGTGCCTTATTTCGCCCCAAGCAATGCCACTTGCCTTGGATTGTGCGTCCGACCAAGCCGCGGTGATAACACCAATGGTTAGGAGAATGACAGCCAAGATCTGAATGCGGGAGTATTTCTTTCCATAAAGAGTCCCAGCAATCATTGTCGTAATGCTTCCACCAGAGCGGAGAATGATATGAACGGGGACTGAGATGTCGTAGCTGAAGGCGTGGTTGTTCAGCACGTTGATACCGAAGAACAGCACAATGTTGATGATCCAGCGGCGCAAAGGAACCTTTTTTTCTTGCAGAAAGAACGGGGGTCGCGATCGGTCAAATTGGGAGAAGTATCCAGTGACGGCTACGAAGAGGAATTGGACAAAGGTCAAGAGAGTTCCTACACGCGGAGCTGATGAGCAGGCCGTCGCAAACAGGCGAAAAAGTAAATGAACGTACCACTCGCGGGTTCGACTCTGTGGAGAAAAGGTTCGATTAGCAACCGATGGCACACCCGGATGATGCTTGGCACCTACTTGATGATGGCTTCCAAGGCGTATACCTGGGTACGGCAAGGTCAGCACATCTGCCGCTTGGATAGTGAGAAGGGACCAAGTCGACCAACATTTGAGCAACATCCGCCAAAGATCAGGCCCAGCATGACACCAACGGCGATCCATTGAGAAGAGAGGCCCGCGATAATGCGACCAGCGGCTTGCATGGGTTTCTCGGTCGATGCACATCCGTTCATGGCGGTTCCATTGGAGTCGTCGGTGATGATCTTCTCGTCATCGTGGCCTCGGGTGGTATCCATCTTCTCCAAGGAGAGCGGTGAGATGCCTTTCGGCTGGCCGCGTCTTCGTGTAGTCGCCAGGGAGGACATTGAGGCTGTCGAAGCCTAGGGGTGCGGACGGAACCAGTTGTAAGGATTGGACCTTTTTTTGAGTTTGAAATTGAAAAGGTAGTAATTGGTACAGCGTGTTCGGGACAGGGAGACTGAACGCAACTAGGTAAGTCAGAAGGTAGCCAATGACAGCGGCACAACCAACCGAAGCTGGCTGCGCTGGGGCCCACCTGACGCCTAAATGGAACAAGTGTGCTTTTCAATTTGACTTGTGTTGCGTTTGAGGCACTCTGTCAACAATATTACGACTTGGCGAGCTTCTTGTCGCAGATGTGATATATACGAGATGGTATTCGGTTCAAGCCTGGAGAGACAGTAAATCTACTTTTGCAGCTACTTCCTGACCCAAGCAACCAAGCTGAGCTGTTCTATGGTGTTTCTGCCGAGGCTACACTTCTCGTTTGATAAGCGTACAGATTGACCCGAGCTGTATCCTGAGATGGCCGAAGGACAGCTATGCGATACCGCGGATAAACCAGTGGTTGATAAGAGATAAGGAAATGGCCGTTCCATGGCCGTATTGACACAGATACATACACATGTACTTTCATGCCAAGGTAGTTACCTAGGTAGATACTTACTTGGGTATGTACGGATACCTGACCTACTAGATAGGTAGGTACCTAGGTGGGTAACAATCCACCTATATCTACCTGTACCTAGGTACCTACCTCAAGGAGGTCGATATTCTGGCTTCAAACTGCGTAGGCCTAGACCCCCCCTTGCCAGCTTCTCTACTAGCTGTTGCCACTTCCACACCTTGTCCGGCTTTCCCCATCTACCTGGAAAGCGGAGGAGATGGGCAAAGGGTGGTTGGTCCTTGGGGGCATTTTCTGAGCCAGTCGCGCCTTCACTTGACAACATATGGATACAAATCATCCAAGTGTGAGAGCCTCATTGCCTCAATTTTGCTATAGAAATCAGGGAGGCATCACCCACCGTGCTACGGTTGGCGGGTCCATCTATCTGTAGTGCTTCTTTCATGACTTCCACCATCACTTTACTCATTCCCCTTCCACCAAGCACTTTCTGATGGCCCTGGTACACAGCAGGATGCTTTCTGCTGCTGGCGTCGCCTCCCAGTCCCAGTCCCAGAGGCAGGAGATGAGGCGATCGTAGCAACCGGCCACAGCTGTGACGTCAATCGTGCACAGCTAGTCCCATTAACCAAGTTCATCTTGTCGTTAGAAACCGACGCCCACGATCTACATTTGTTCGACTGCCCTGCAGCGCTGGCTGCGTGCTGCCTGTGAGCGTCCCCACACAGCCTAGCCCTCCATTGTTTTGGCCCTGTGCCGACTTTATAGTGCAGAGAAAACAAATAACTGTGCCAGGGAGGTGGAAATATTAGCTCCTGTTGCTTTGCCGATGACGTGAAAGAGAAATGGGTTGCAGGGCGGGGGGGGGGGGGGGGGGGGGGGGGGGGGTCTTACGTTGTTCGTTGCCGCAATAGCAATGCTATCCTCAAATGGATGCCAACTCATGTGGAGGATCTTCTTGTTGAAATCAATCTGGTCGGCATCAGTTTCCTTGCGCATTCTTTGGCCCTGGCCGCCAGCTCCGGCAGCAGGGCTGCCAGCACGAGAACCTCCCTTCTTGCCGCCATTGGTTGCGGTTGGGCTGGTGGATGAATTAATGGGCGTGGGTACGCCGACCTTTTTGGCCTTGAAGGCAGACTTGTCGGCCTGTAGCACCACCTCAACTTCTTTCTCCGGATCCGACGGGTAGATCATGAAGTTGTTATTGTAGCTGCCAGTCATAACGTTCTTGGCGTCTCCTGAGAAGACGACTTCAAACTTGTCGAAGATACTGTCGTTCTCGTACGTGTCGCAGAGACGAGGACGCAGGTGTTCGTGGATGGGAATTGTCTTGACCGGCTGGCGCTCCATGTTGATATCCCAAATCTTCACCGTCAGATAGTCACGAGACAGAATGTAGCGGCCATCGTAAGAAAAGCGAACGTCCGAGATTGATGAGATGATTTCGGAGAAGAATGACCTCGAAGATGGGTCTTCTTCTTGTTCAAAGACTGCAACGTGTCAGATTATTTTGACTGTGAGTAACGGTGGGAGTGCAGCACGTACGCTTTGCGTGACTATCACACAGAGCGCTCTGGCGCATATCGGCAAGCTTGATGGTGCCTTTGGAGCTGGCATACATGAACCAATTGCAGCTCAGAGGGTGGAATTCGGCGGCAGTTATCACCTCGGTCAGCTCCTCCATGTTGGCCGGTTTGATGTCGACAATGTTGAAGCTCTGGTCCTGAATGTTGAGGTTCCACAAGTTGATACGGAGGTCATCGCTGCTGATAAATGTCTCGCCATCGCTATTGACTGATATACTGTTGATGTGGTAGGCATGGGCATTGGCGTAGGTCCGGCGGGGCACGGCGGCGACAACGGTGTCATGGTGGGTGAGGCGGGGCATAATGAGGTCCTCGGCATTCTTAAAGCGATGCGCAGGCGACTGTTTCGGAGCGCCTCCTCCACCGGTGAGGTTTGCGGGAGTCAGATCGTCAGATAAGTTGTTCTCAGCCACGACCTTGAGCGACTTCTCAAAGACCTTCCATAACTTGATCGTCTTGTCATTTGTTGAGAGCAGGTAGTGGGATGCATTCTGTCGGCGGCACCACTTGATCTTATTGATCTTTTCCTCGATTTCCAAAGACTTCAGGTAGTCGAATTCGGGCTCGTGGGACTGAAACTCCGTGTGGAACTTGTACTCGCATGTCTTTTTCTGCTCGGTGTCATCAGCAAGAGCTGTGCAGCATGCATCCGCCGTATATTGACGGAACAGATCCAACTTACCGTCTCGTTCCGTTCGAAGAGCACGACCCGACCACCTTTGTCTCCCGTCGCTAGGTAGTTACCCGTGTGATCGAACTCGACCGTCGAGATGATGTCAGCTAGAGAAGAGGTCAGATACTCGCAGCTCGAAATGGGCACGCAACGGAGTCTCGCCTAAGGTGACGGGGGCAGCAGCGGCAGACAAAGCTGTAGGGTTGATTACTGACCTTCAGTGATGTCCTCCACGTCGCCCTTGTCTCCGAAGCACCTATTGCGTCGCGTGAGCACTCGGTCAAGCATGGGTGGGGCAGCAGCCAAGTCGGCCATGGAAAGAAAACATGGAATAGGCTGGCGGGCACATACTGGGTGAACTTCCACGTAGGGGAATTCGTGTCACTGTCCACCATGATTGCTGACCAGCTCTGGGACGGTTAACAAATGGACTTGTAGATGTTGAGATGGGCGAAGGAAGAAGCGAGGTGGCGGGGCACGGAGAGAACGAGGGGCGAGCTCTAGTTGTACGGCGGAAAGGAAGCTATCTTTCAGCACGGGGCGAGGTGGATAGGGCTGGAATGAGCCACACGAGGATCGTAGTTCGAGAGGCGTAACGGCTATGGTGTTGAAGGATAGCTGGGGCGATGTGCGCAGTCAACGTAAAAACACGCAGGCGAGCGGAGGAGAGAGAGGGCGAGGGGCAATTGCGGCGACGTATAGGTTGCCAAGGGCTTTCTTGTTTCCTTTGTGATAAGATAGGTCCGGCGGGTCGAAGTTGGCGGAGAAGAGGGGGAAAGGGAGACCCTTAGCTCGAGGAGATGGGTGGACTCCTTGACGGCGAAGAAGCGTAGGTATACGTCCGCGTGTGCAGGATTTGGAGAATGTGTCTGGGGATTGCAAAAGACGAGTAGTTCGTCGGATGCAGCGACGGGCGGGTTTTGGCGGCGACCTGGGGATATTGGTCGGGAGTCGCACGGTATTTTCTTCGGAGGAGGGGTATCGCGGCGCGGGTAGCGGGCAGACCAGATACAGGGTGCAGGAATGCGCAAGGTTGAGGTTGGGGGGGTGTGTATGAGAGTGGGAAAGTGGTGCGGTGATGGATGTGACAGAAAGAGGTGACGCTAGGAAGGTCGATGGATGGGTATTGTTCTGGATGGGCTCCCTGCCCTGCTGCTTGCTGTCTCTGGTGTGCTCTGCTTGCTGTGCGCTCGTGGTGTGCCGTGTGCACTAGGTAGGTGGTGGGACCGGCTGGGTCTGGGTCTTACTGGGGCTGGAAGCGGGATGGGAGTAAGGTGGGAATGAATTAAACGCCGCCGTCAAGGCAAGGCAGGTGGTGAGCGAGTGATGGTGCTTGCGTCAGAAAGGGCAGAATACCGTCGGTAGCCAGCTTAGGTAACGCAGCTGAGGCAGGCAGGTGAGAGGAGTAAGATAATTGAGTGATGTGTGAGGCCGTGTGCAACTGTTGGGCCCTGCCTTGAGGTACCTACCTACCTAGGGAGGTAGTTGTACATTACTCCGTATGTGCTGCGGGATCTCGATACGGACAGTGTCTTGCTATACCGATCTTGCCCAAATTCATGAGGTCTTCATCGGAAACACTAAGCAAGGTGTAATACAATACTTTTTGATAATTGACGAACTCTTGCTGGACCAAGCAAGAGCCGGGGTAAGGGCCTGGATTCCGGAATCGTCCAGCAGGTGACCCAAGCACGATGAGGGGTGCTAGGCGTACCGATCGCATCCACAAATCTGAAGCTTGAGCTGCGCTACCTGACCAAGCTGGTCTCGCTCCTGCCCTCCCGCGTTTACACATCATAACGACCAGCCCGTGACGAGTAAAACACAGGGAGGGCTGGCTAACTCATGGTACCAGATTGAGGAAGAACCCGGACGGCACAAAAAATCGACAACAGCAGGGTTCGAACCTACGCGGCCGAAGCCACCAGATGGGGAGAGGTTGAATTCAAGTCTGGCTCCTTAACCACTCGGACATGTTGCCCTTCGAATCAACGTGAAGTGCGGCTTGGATGTGTCAAGATGGTGACCACTCCCGCTACTTGGTAATGCATCTTCCACTCGCGCCGGTATGTATCTATAGGCTCAGTTGTATACTTACCCATGCGAAAAGGTCCGGAGCAGTGCTGTGCAGGCCACCCGCTGTTTCTGGCAATGCAAGAAACCTTTCTGGTGCAAGAATCAATCATCAAAGCCCTTCAGAGCCTGCGCGATTCTTTGTGAGGCCTGAGTGGCTTCGGGCTCTGGTATCTATGAATTCTTTTGTATTGATATCAATGCCCCATGGTATTGACATCGCCTTGTATAGGCAGATCCTCCAATGAGTACAATATCTAAGAACACGAGTGAGATTTTGTTGAGAACACGTTTTCACGTCCATACCGCCGCTTCTTCCTCCCCTTCAGCTATTAAGTATGTTCCTCCAAGATTAGGTTATACATAACCATTAAATCTGTGCCACCGGGTGGATGGAGCTCCTGCTGCCTGAGAAATTCGGCATGTGGTGCCAACGTGTATTGGCCAACAAATATGTACCGTTCACAGTCAGGAACCTCGGTTTCCTGACACTCCTCCGGCTGAGCCACCGGCTTACCCAACTAAACTTTCCTAATCAATTACCACAGCGTCCTTTTTTGGAATCATTCGCAATCTTACTTACTCTGGAAACAATAAAACTCAGTGCTTCAGACCGCCTATCTCATGAATCAACATAGTAGCCACGACGCCGATCCAAAGTTCAAAGGCAAGGACAAGGAAGCTTCTGCTGCTGTGCCTGCTGGGGTTGACAGCGAAAGCAACACTCGAATCCTCCGGGGAGACAACGATGCGCGATCCGAGCCTTCGTTTGCAAATCGCCTCGCGACATCGGCAGCCACCCTTTCTCGAGCCGCCCTAGAAGGCCGCCCTAGTGCTGAAGCCATTCGGAACGCGGCTTCTACAAAGGCGTACGTGCAGGCCGAAGCCAGCACCAGCTCAAACCAAGGCTCTGTAAATAGAGACCAGGCTGCTACCTATCGTGGCAGAGATAATTACGATACTGGTGTTGGGTCCGCATTCTCGTCATCAAGACACTCACCCACAGCTGGCGAACAACAGTACGAGGGCTTCAAGGGAGCGCAAGCAGCGCTTGACATCTCGGTCCAGCTGCAAATACCAGATGGGGATCAGCACGGCCTCGCTGGTTCAACGAATACTTCGCACAACTCTCATTTCTCGAGAATCCAGTCTGATGTCAATGAACAGGAAGCTAGGGACGGCCAGCAAGTGGTTGATCTGCTGACTGCTCCACATGAGTTGGACGATTTGGAAGCCATTGGCAACCTCCACAGCTTCGTTTCACGGCGTGAAGAAGAGTCGCTGAGAAAGGCGCTCTTTAGCGGTAGCGGTGATGGGCCCGCCTCCACCTGGAGTACCCTGCTCGACTTCCAGCCCGATTTCCTTCAAGAAGGCAACATAGTCGAGTTGCTACAGCACTTTGGCGTCACCGATCCGCAGCAAGCCAAAGCTATGTGGATGGACAGTTGGGCCGACGTGCTCGCCAGCTACACAGACCAAGTCTGGGGCGACCTCAGCTTCCTTGCCCGAGAAGCGCAGAAAGAAATCAATGAGGCGCGTGAGCAGGGGACAGCGACAAATGCAGACCCCGGCGGGCTGCAGGCACTTCGACGGCTACAACAGATTCTAGCGCACGTCCGGGGCCGTTAGTCAATCTCGAGATCATGAACCAGAGCCGAGTGGTGTGAGGGCTGGGGTTGCTGTGTCAACTATCCTTTGCCCAATGACATCATGCGATTACACCTCAAAGCCCAGCCACCTCATCCATCTCGGGCCCCTCTTGGCCTAACTAATCCGAGAGACAGGGACAGGATTCGCATGCATTGCACGCAACCCACCAAAAAGACGTGGGCGGGGTTGGTCGTCTTACTTGTACGTACTTGTGCAGCAGGATAATGGTCTACGAACAACGAACAAGGAAGAGGGAAGCAAATTGACAATTGAGGCCTGGTCATCGATTTGACCAGTTGGGAACCGAATAAAAATATCACTGCTATAGTTCCAAGCCCCTCTCTTATTCCTCCTTTTTTTTCTTTCTTCTTCTTCCTCTCCTCCTCCTCCTACTGCTTGTTGTGCTTGCTGTGCTGGCTGCTGCGCTGCTGCTGCTGCTGCTGCTGCTGCTGCTGCTTATCAATCCTAAATCAGCTTCACGACTAGGCTGCTCTGGACACTATACACACCGCCCGGGACCCGTCGGCTTCCATTCCCAAAGGAGGCATCACGCTCCTGTAGCACAATTTTGAAGTTATCCAGGCGACGCTGCTTTGTTCCGAGCTACGCGGCGAGGTATGAGAAGGACCGTTTATTGAGACTCGCCGGCTTGGATCTGCATCATTGGACTAGGAAAACCATGAGGTTGTCACGGTGGACGATACGCTTCGGACACCTTTTAGCGACAGGCTCGTTCTTTACAGTCGCAGAGCTGACTCCAACGCCAGCTCAAACCAGAGCCCCGACCCCGACCACGGCATATGTAGCAGGCGGATCGCCGCTGCAACTATTCAGGCGTCAGGACTGCCCGGCTGGCACTTCCATGTGTTCAGACTCGCTCGGTACGAGCTTCGAGGGCGTCTGCTGCGCAATAGGGCAGCTCTGCGAACTCGACGACAACAACCGGCCAGCATGCTGTCCTCAAGGGTATGAATGAACCGGGTAGACAGCCTCACGTCATGGTATGAGAAAAGCTAACACACAACTGGACATTGTAGAGCTGTATGCACCGGCACGGCTCCGACAACAGCGCCCACCGCTCCCACGGCCGTCTCATACGTGCCAAATGAATATTTCCCATTCCCGTACATCGCAACATCTCTCGACCGCGGCCAATGCTCCTCAGCCGTCAGCCAGTGCTCTCGAAATTACCAGAGCTGTGTCACCCAACTTGACGGAAATTCCGGCTTCGGCGTCACCGTTGTTGTTCCTGGCGGAGGTGGCACCACAGTCGCTGCCACCCGGCCAGACGTCGGTACGTCGGCCACTCCTATCTGCTCCAGCCTCAGCTCTCGCGCCTGCTACGGCCTGGAGAACGACCAGTGTTCACAATCAACAACGGTCAATGGCGTTATCATAAACGCTGCATCACGTCCGACAGCGGCGTGCATGGTTGGTGTCGCTGCTGGCGTGGGAGTCGCCATCTTCCGCGCCATACAATGAGATAAAATGTCATGATGGGAATCTGTCCCAGTCACTCTGTGCGGATAATTACGATTCATACGCTCTATCTGTCCGGTCATGTTTTCTAACTGTTATATACCACGTGGGCAGGGTGTGATATGAAGGGTGCCGGCGAGCTTTCCATCGAGCTCACACAAATCAGCCGACCTATGGTCATCTCATTGCTCATTTATGTCGTCGTGCGTATTACATCCAACAAGATTGCTTGCTTTTCGCGAGACGTAATCGGACCAGCCTTCAAGGGTGTCGCTTACAACTTCCAACATGCGGCTGAAGAAGAAGAGGCTGATGAAGGAAAGACCGGCAATCACGGCGAAACAGATCCAGTACGTCTTGGGAGTGTAATGCTCCACGAGGTCGGGAATCTCTAAGGAGAAGTAGCTGGTCATAAAATTTATGGGCAGGAAGAAGACGCTTAGTTTGGCGAGGAGGGTTGCGCTCCTGCTCAAGCGGGCAGTGGCTTGCGAGTCCCTTTGGGCTGTAAGGCTGAAATACTGTAACCTAGTAAGCTTCGATGGGAAGTAATCAGAATGGCTCAATGTATTGGGAGCAACTTACCGTGTCTGACAAGGCTTTTTGCTCTTCCAAGCACCCTTGGATCGTGTTAAGCATCAACAGTTGTAGTCTGTCCCCGAGGCGTTCAAAGCGACTTCTTGCTGATAAGGGTATATTGACCTCGCCGTGCAGGCTTTCTAGAAGCTCATAATCATCACAGCGGCCCTCTTGATATTCATCAAGTGATCGGGGCTAGCAGATGCGTCGAATAAGATATTTGTAGCACTCAAAAAGGTGGTGCAGTTGGCGTAGTTCCTTGCTCAACTGGTGCAAAGACTTGACGATATCGTCCGTCTTGGCTTTGCTTCTTCGGTTCCGTAGAAGTCAAAATCAGTATCCTTACCTCCAGAAGGCATGACAAAGCAGCAGGGTCTTTCTCTTCTCTTACCGAGCTCCCAAAAACCTGATCGCTCTATTCGGCCGCGCATCAGCTTATTAGCGGATGGTTTAATATTAATGCTTAGTTCTCACTTACCAACTGTTCAGGACGGAGCTTGGAAGCCTCCAACACGGACATGACCGAAGAATAATCTTCAAACAAGTAGTAAACCAAATTGCTTGAGCCTTCGTATGCCGTGTCGCTTTGAGGTTCCGTCTCTGTCATCGCTTGCCTGACTCGCTTGAACGAGACGAGCCTATGGCTAAAGTCTGTTAAGCCATGCCTCGAGAGCTGGGAGAGAACACTGAGAGTGGTGGATCGCATGCTTCGCAGTTCTTCTTCGGCCCAGCCATCCCTTTCTGGCTGCTCTGTCGGCGGCGTCTCGTGGAACGACACAACGATGGCTAAACAGTGGTTAGCTTCACAGGTTTCACCAGCAGACATAGGGTATAGAGTCGCATTTGTGACGTACAGTCAGAGCAGAGGGTAAGCCAGGACCAGTGCCATGGTGGCAACACTCTCGGGGGCTCTTCGTTGTGACGGCCTGAGGGTCGACGGTGTCACCAGTTGGCGCCAATACAAAGAACTGCCTCAAATTAGACGCCTACAATGGCCACGTTCCTGGGAGTACCCACATTGCTTCCCTCGGTCGATCGATGTGTAGTTGACCGTCTCCTTGATCATTTGGTAAATCTCGAGGTCCTCTGAGCTCTGGGATGTAGCCCGAGCTGACGGCTGTGCTTTGTTTTCGTTGCACGTCGACACTGATTCGATATCGTTCTGCTTGGACAACTGTTTCTTACCGGGTTTTGGCAAGGATGGCAGAGGGGGGGCCATCATTATGGCTTGTATTCTCCGAGAGAAGCCATAGCGGTTGCCGATCTGCTGTACGGTCGAGGTTTGAGTGCTTGGAGACCAAATATTAATCCAGCGTACCGTACCCTCGGGGGCCTTCTGGCCAAGGAGTACCCCGAAGTCTTCAGGCCTTAGATTAAACGCGATCCTCGCCTCTTGAAAGTTGAACTCGACTACAAAGTTGGCAGCCTTGTCACTAGCAGCTTCTGCCTTGACGCGGGCGTAGACATCCTTGTCGTCGAGGTCTTCGAACCTGTCCTCCAGGCCCACAGGCGATTTCGACGCCATTAATCCGGGCACTCGAAACGAGTCTGTAGACGTAGTGGTATCGGAAATTCGCGGGCGTGCACAGCAAATTCGTAAGCTTGGAGACGGGACGTCGATTTGGGATAGGCAGCCTCACAGGCAAAAGTCACATTTGATATCGGGGCGGCAGCCTGGAACTGGCACTTTAACATGTATTTGAAGCAGGCTCGAAAGGATTTGGGACAAGGTGTCATGCGAGGGCATGCAGCTAAGCCCGTTGTCGAGGCTGGTAAGATTGCATTCGGTTGGTTCGCAGCGGCTACACCCGTCGGCACCTAATTTCGGGAGGTGAGTACGACAACATGCAGGTCGGAACACTGCAAACGAACCGGTTGTCTACCCTGTGAAGAGTTACCCCATAACTGACCCAGGAACTTTCATGAACACTACATGTCAGCTAGGAGTTCGTCGTTTGTTCCATGCAATTATCTCGAAATATATGATAAGCATATGCATGGTGTCTGTTGTCTTGCTAGATAAACCCTTGGCCTATTGTGAGGCATGTCCCTCGAGCTTGGTGCAGCCGTGGATTTCCGCGTCTAAACCAACACTTCTAACACACGGCTATATTGCCAGAGTCGTGGTGTTGTTCTTTAGCTCCTTCAGGTGCGAATTTCCCACTTTCCTTCATTCCCATGATACCCTCTTGGATCGACATATCTCCTTGCCCGGTGGGTAGCAACACGCCATATCACGCAGCTGCGCCATCCCTTGGACTGCAGACGCTGTATGCCAAGAGCCTGCTTAGGCTCGTCCCAAGCGAATCCTCCTGGTTGTCTTTTCCATTTCGTGGGTGGGTCACCTTTGGATACCCTAAAGCGAGTCGGAGAAACCCACGGGCGACGTTCTCGGCTTCTTCAAGCCGGGCCTCATCTTGGACATCCAACTTGGCATATGCCGCTCCGAGGTCCTCATTCCGAGCCAGGAGCAGTGTGATTGCTTCGGCTCGTTCTACCACAGTGGTCTCGACCCCATTCAGAGCTGCACACCTACTCCCGAAACTTGACATGCTTCTTCCGGGCACCAGTTCGTATAGAAAGACCACCTGGTCTTCCATGTGCTCCGCCTCAAGGTCAAGGCGGACATCCATTTGTGCAAGAAACATCTCTGGTCGGCCCTTGAGATAGCCACCTTCAAAAATCTCATGGCAGTGCGTTGCAATGAGAATTTTGGGGGTCTGTGAGCTGAGAGTAGTAAAATGATCGATGAGGGCGGTCATGAGCCCGGACTCATCATCGGCAGCTGTTCCTTTGCCAAACTCGTCGATGGCAACCAGAGTACGGCGGGTGGTACATCTTAGCAAAAATGAGACCTGCCTCAAATCAGTACCAAAAGAGCTCTCTGTCAGCGATACACTCTCTCGTGCCGAGATGCTGGTCAAGATCTGGTCAGTGATGCCGATGGTGGCGTCATCAGCAGGTACAAAGCTCCCTATATGAGCAAGGTAGACAATAAGAGCAACCTGCTTGATGTACACACTCTTCCCAGAATGATTGGGCCCTGTGACGACGAGCATGCTGCCTCCCAAATCCTCATTCGCCGATGATACCGCCTGTGTTTCGAACTCATTTCCGGAGCCGCCGACAAGGCGGCAATCGTTAGGAATGAATGCCGGTACGGTCAACTCTTGGAGCGGATGCCGGCCTCTCCGAATTGATAAAACATTGTCAGTTGTCATCTTTGGACTCGTCCAGCCATACTTGAGCGCCCCCTTTGCCAAGGCCACTAGACAGTCAAGTTCGCCGCATGCTTCAGACGCGCAACTGAGCGTAGAAGTGCACTTGAGAACCTGACAGGCTAGACCGTGCAGGATCTCAACTTCCATATCTATGGAAAGCTCAGCAATATGCGCATAATACGGAAAGAGGCTGTCCACAGACCAACAATTCGGCTGTAAGTGTCGCCGATTTGAGCGTCTAACTCCAACATGCTTCTGTTCTTATAGTATACGTTTCCGTTGGCAACGAAGCGCTGTTCCCAACGGTCATTGTCTAGTCCTTGCCCTTCATAACCTGACTCGCCAGTGTCGCGAAGCAAAGGCACTACCGTGAGGAACCCTAGTTGAGGCCAGAAGATGCAACCGGTCACGTACTTTCGGGCCCACTCTGGAAGCTCCCGTGTCAGTGACGTGCTAACCTCACTCAGAAACGAGTCCAGCCCATGGTATGTTTGTTTGAGTGTGTCAAGCTTGGGATTAACGTTCCATTTTACGGAAATGCGCGAGCTTGCCTTGGTTTCCTCGAAGTCGACAGTCGACCCAACTAGCTCTCCAATACTTTTGATTGTAGCCACAGGGATAGCTGCGATGATATGTGGGAGCATGTTAGCCAGAAAACTGGTGATTGGATTTCCAACGTGGATTACCTGTCGAAAGATCGCCACCTCGCGCCAGTGTCGTAGTTCAAGGACCGCCTCTCTGAGCCGCAACACAAACGATGAAAACCTAGCCAAGCTCCACCACACGCCACGCTCGACCGATGCGCTATTGGCGGGTGATTCTGCGCCCCTTTGCAACTGAGCCAATGTTTTTTTGATGTCCATGCCCTTTTTTAAGGTCTGCGTAATATCCTCAAGAGCTGTCTCGTTACCGGGTTGCAGGAGCACTGATATCGCATTGTGCCTTCCTCGAATAATGTCGATGTTGACCAGCGGGCGTAGAAACAGCTGCCTGAGCTCTGCCCTCCCCTGGGGCGTGCCAGCAAGCGGATGGAAAATACCATAGAGGGACAGACTCTCTTTCAACCCAGCGGTCGCCGTACCCGTACCTGACATTAGGTTATTGGGATGCAGCTCTGACTGGAACACTTGGAGGGACGATAGTGTATCGGCGTTGACAAACATGAAGTCAGCCAGCGCGAACATTCGAAGTGAGGTGATGAAGGCTCCTCCTGGACCGCCCGAACCTTGCTCCACGCTTTGCAGGCGTCTGGTTTCACATAGAACGGCACCAGCACATCCAATCTAATTTCTGTCAGCGCTTGAATACAGTTGTGTCTTACAATTCATGACAGCCTACCGACAAGATGCTATCAAGGTCAATGAAGGACCCTAGACGCATGGTTCGGAAGGCTTGGCACTGTTCCCAGGAGTCACCGTGGGATATCGGATTGCCTGCAGCCGTTATGAGGGCGTGCTCCGGATAGATCACTGACAGGCTGGCCAGCTTGTCCAGAGAGGCTGCATGACTGAACTCATTCGAGCTGAGTGAGCGAAGGATGTAGTGTTCTGTCTCGGAACCTGGAAAAAGAATACCATCAGCGCTCGTGCTAAAGCCTCCTAGGAAACCAGCCCACCTTGATTTACCGAACTCCTGCGCTGTTCAAGAAATCGAACCACTGCATCTGGTGTTTTAAGAGGTAGTAAAACTACCGTGGGCTGGACATGAATCAAGATTGCTTCAACAAGTTGCAGTGGTTCGGCAAACGGTAAGTCTCGAAGCAGAAAGAGATTGCCTTCGTCGGAGTTGTAGTAAGCGCAGCCAAGTCCGCTCTTTTCCTTAATGGTGATTGCGACGATGACTTTGTTCCTCCGCTCAACTTGAGCAGCGGCTTGTCCGTTGATGATTGAATGCCCCCCAAGTTCGCTCGATACCGTGTGTAGGAGCCCCTCATGAGACAAGTCCCGAGCCGGCGTGGAAAACACGCGATAGCTGCTAGCAGGTAGTGTCAATCGATTCTCTGAAACTTCGCTGTTCTCTGCTCCGGACATCGAGCCTGTCTGCATTATGGGCGAATTCTGATGGGCGTCATTGGGGGTTGAGAAGATGGGTGAAGTGCGTGTTGAACCAATGAGACTCGAAGTGCCTCGAGTTCCGCGAGATGCACGAGCAAAGCGGCCTCTTGATCGAGAGGGAGCCCTCGAGCTCCTCGCCGATATGCCTCCTGGGGTGTCCCGCAAACTCCTTGGTGAAGCGCCCCCCAAGCTACGGCTTGAGCCTCCCCTGGAACGAGGTCGGGTCCGCCAAGACCCAAAGCTGACTCTGCTTTGTCCCGACATTTCGAGGTATCAAACAGACGAAGCGTATCTAAAGACCGGTTAGAAGGGCCGAGCTGAGAGGTAAGGCGTTTTTAACCCTCTGGAAGGGAGATGAATAGATCAAACCAAAGCCAGGTGAGGACGAACGGTTGGATGAACTAAGGCCTGGTGTTGGAAGACGAACTCCGGAGACAGGTACCAGCCTTACACAAGAAGCTCTTACCTGTGAAGTCAAATTGTACCAACAACCGTCTTGGTAAGTGCTATGGCCATGGCAATGACCTACCTGTCTGAGCCAGCGTACCTGCCTCGGAAGAGAAGGAGGGGGCAGGGGGCAGGGGACAGGGGGCAGGTGTAGAATACTTTCGATAAAACAGCAGTTGCAGACAGGTTCGAGAGACCGGGAAACCAAAAGACATCACCCAGCTATGCCAACAGTTCGTGCCCATGGCTTGGGACCATTCACAGCTACCAGTGTTCGGACTCAGCATGCGACGACTATTCGGCAGTCCATACTGCATCATCGACTATGCGACTTCACAAAAGAGTCTGGAAGAGCTTGCACCAAGCAAGATGCGATTTGACTTATGGAGCAACGGATTGGGTGACTGGGGATATTGTCCATAGCAAACGAGGTACCTGCTAGGTAGCACTATTTGACCAAGCCCAGGGCCTACCTGATACAACAAGACGTTCCAAGACCGGATGGAAATGATCAGGCAGGACAAAGATAAAGTGACCCGTCTAGCTTCAGGTCCAGGTTCTTCCGTCTCTTTTACGAGGGTATCTGCCAAGAAAAGTCTTTTACTGAGGAAATACAGATACAGGCGAAGGCTATATCGAGGAGACGTACCGGTGACCTTTGACACATGTTGGATGATTCTCCATAGCAGTCTCCCAAGGCCGACGGACTTCCGTAAAAATATTGCGCAGTCGCCGTCCCGCTTCGAGCCGTTACGACAACAAGCAAGCCGTGAAGAGGATCATGCACCAAGACCTAGATATGCGATGCTGTATTGGGTTGACTATAACACATAGTGTCTCCCTCCTCGCGCGGTCGTTGTCTTGACTTCAGTGTGAAGTGGCCGCATTCCTCATCTTCTCGCCAGACTTGACCCAGTTGGCGAAATCGCGTCTCTGTTTCCGAACGTCGACAAAGCCCGGTCGGCTCTCAAGAATGCGGAACGGATTGCCAACGTAATCCTTCTCCACCTCCCCGTTGCCTGCTAGGAATCCTGCCTCCCCCTCTCTCTCGATCTTACCAGCCCATACCCGCCATTGAATCGGCCGAAGGTTCGGAGCGCCCAGTACAAGACCAAGAATAATGACCACTGTTGCTACAGCTGTTTCGATGGTGATGTCTGCCGGTAACGACGTGGTAGCGGCCGGTGTGGATGTTGCTAGGGGCGACGCGGCTCGGAAGGACTGAAGCACGGAATGCTCTTGGGCCGAGTAGCAGCTAGATTATCAGCGGGAGGTTAGTATGGCCGGCAGTTGTTATGGCGTGACGGCAGTACTTACGCGTGACCGAGCAGCAGCAGACCAATGGCCGTGATGGATCGCGAAATCCAGGTCATGGTGTGTATGCGTTGCAGTTGTATACTAAATGTGAGAGCCCCAAGAGGGGTGCGCAAGCTCTTGCGTTGTCGATCGGTCCTGCGATGGCGAACACACTCGACTTGGCATCAAATTGTCGACAGAAAAGTGGCTTAGGTAATAAATCAAGGCTGATCTTGAGAGCCGGGAGGGAGGTCTGTCGTTCGTAGACTCCGCGTCAATAGCATCGATTATCTCAGCTCTGTCAAGATTATTACCTAATTAGCATGTCCATGGCCCTAGCGAAGCATGCATTGCTGGTCTTAATAGGACACAATGTGTTATGCACTTAATAAGGTGCAGGAAAGCTAGCTCTTATTAGCATAATATGTATTTATGTAAGTGACAAAGCACAATCGAGTATGTCCTGTGAACCACTGGATTCATCATCCACTCAACGTCGTTGCATTGCACCCGACCCTGCGAACTTCTTATCATCCCCCCGGTGCCGCACCTATACACGGACGCTGTGAATACCATAGAGGATCAATCCCATGTGTCTGGAAATGCTCCGAGGACCATGCCTATCATGTCTACTACTCCCATAGACATATTCGACCGGTTTCGCATTGGCCAGGCGAGCTATTCATCAACAAAATGTGCTACCAGGCGTTGTCGGGCACTTCATGTAAGTAGACTTATTTCTATCGTCGATGTGATCTGGCCCCTATGTCTTCTCAGTTGCCCCACGCCGATCAGAAGAATATCCGTTTGTTCGACCGTTCACCCGCCCAGCGTACCGTGCTGGTTGTTCTCATTGACGCGCTTATCTCCAGTCTGAACAAAATCAAAATCAAATGAAGGATCCCGCCAGAGCTCTACGGTGACGCTCCTAACGCCCGTAATTTCCAAAAAGCAAGCCTCCAGGACGAGACCAACAACATAAAAAATCCGAGATCCAATCGCCTTGGGTGTTGCTCACTCTGGGTCTATCCAATTGTTGAAGTGGCTGCCCTCAAGTTCCTCTACCCTCCAGCTGCTTTCTTGCCCCCTCAGGATCTGAAGCTGGGGATCGTGCATGAGGCCCTCGTCGTATCCCGACAAGCCGTCGAGAAGATCGTGTCTTCCGTCGCCGAAACCGAGTGGGTTAGTCCATCTGGGCTCCAACATGGGATCGCCGTATGGATCCCCGTACGGATGACCTCCATGTCCCATCAAGCCTGGGTCAATCATCGGCTCGAAGCCGTCGTGATGCGACATGGGACCATACTGACCCATGCCGTCGTAACGGTTGTCCATCGACGGAGCCGCATACCCCATCGCCGGCGACGGCGTTTTACGGATGAGCACGTCCTCAACGAAGCCGGTTGCGTCCTGTCGCTGATGAACGCTCTGTTGGTAATACTGACCACCTCCAAGGCCGTTTTGGCTATACGGAGCCGGCAAGGGCTTCCCCGGGTTGCTGTAGTGGTACATGGACTGCGTCTGCACGCCGAGGCCCATGGGGCTTGTCTGGAGTGATGGGTAGTTGTGGAAGATGGATGCCGGTGCCTCGTTTCTGCCGTGCGTGGGCTTCCTCAACTGCCTGCTTCTTGAGCTCGCTCGACTATGGCCCCATTCTAGGTCGTCCAAATCACCATGTTCGGATTCCTCTTCCTCCCTTGCCTTGGGTCTCGGCTTCGACGGCGTAAACTTATACCCCGGGTGTGCTTTCTGGTGGTTTGCTCGCTCTTCCTTGGCCCATTCATTGAACTGGTCACGCACATGTTCTGGCTCTAGGGGCCAACCGCTGCCACAAACCTGCGACACCACTTGGTGGTTGTTTTGTGTACAGAGACCCTTGGCAAGGTTCTGGTAAGCCTTGCGGTACAACATGAAGGCGTTCATCGGCCGCTTGATTCTGCCAGGAGTTTTGCTCTCTTCGACCTCCTTCATCCGTGCCTCTGCAGACCGCTGGACGTAGGCACCAATGTCTGCCACTGGAATGTGAGGTTGTTCCTTGGCCAACTCGCTCAGAGGTTTTGTCACGCCGTCAACCTTTTTGGACGACTTAGCTCTCTCCTTCTTCTTTTTAGGCGTCGACTTTTCGATACGGTTTGCTCGAGCCGCGAGCGGTTTGATCGTCGATGATCCTTTGTGAATGTTGAGTCCACTGCGTGTGGTCAACACATCCGACGCCCGTGAAGGCGTAGGTGGTGACGTGTCGGGGGTGCTGTACGGCTGGACAGAAAACTGTGTGAGTGGCCACTTCATCGTTGAGTCTCGCGAAGTAGCTTACCTGATGATTCAGTTCTCCAGACATTGGTGCGTATATAGAGCCAACGCTTGTGTCATAGCCATGGTGGTAGGACTGTGGTATCATATCAGTTGAAGCTCTGAGGCACGGCTATCTGACTGGTGGAGGAACCTCTTACCATCTGGCTTTCATTTGCGCGGTGCGAATACGGAGAGTTCTGATCGTAAGGCATACCTTGTTGAGGTCCAGGCGTGCCGTATCGAGAAGGCGTCTGCAACCCCCCCATATCACTCGGATGTAAATGCTCTCGGGGGTAAGATGTGGCTCCGTTTGGGCGTATCATATGATTCAGTCCGTTTGGATAGATATCATCGTTTGAGGGAGCAGGGGACGGAGGGCCGTTGTGTTCCATTCCAAACAGTTGTAGGCGGTCGACCTGTGTCTGAGTATTTCAATCGCCAGGGGCCAGCCAGTATGGCTGATGGGAGGTAGGATGGCGATGAAAGTGTAGTGGGTACAGTCCAAAAAGTCCTCAATGCAGTCAGAACCGTCGGCGTTCCAGGTTCATTGGGATATCTGCTTCGTTTCGTGTCTCCCTTCTTTTTTTCGATCTTGACTTTTACTAGCGGCAGTCTCGTACTTGTGGAAGAATAAAGTAGTCGCTGAGTTGTGGGCCAGTGATGGTATTCGATGGTAGCACAAGCCTGGGTCTAGGCCAGGCGATGGCTTTGTATGGCAACAGACACAGGCTTTCGGGTCAGTGAATGCTCAAGGAAAGAAAACAAGCCAACAGATGTGAGATGGCAAAAGGTGTGAAAGATGCAGCTGCACCTGTGGATTATCTACATTCAGCAGATGCTGAGTAGCCGAAGGTGGTGGTGGTCAGGGGGTGGTGTGTGTATATGAGAGAGAGGGGGGGAGCAGGCTGGGAGGAGGAGTGGTGGACGGCCTGGTGACTAGAGTGAGAGGTAGTCACAGAATACCCAGAAAGACACGCAGAGGGTTCTTGATCCTGCTCTCTAGGAAGTATCGGGAGGCTCTAGCTCTCGGTCTGTTGGAGCCTGTGTTCTGTACGCCTATTGCAATTGCAACCGCAGCTGCAGGTGTTCAATGCAGTGCAGTAGAGTGCTGCAAGGACCAGGAAGGGTTGGGAAAAAGGCGAATGAACGAGGTTGCAAGCAGCCGAAGAACAGGGATCAGTGATGATCTGGGACCGTTTCCTCGGGATATGGGTTACAACGACAGTGTCCAGCTGGGGAGGCTGGGTGGGCTTGCCAGGGGGCAGCGGTATGTTGTTGGCCAAGCACAGGGAGCTCTATGAATAGCCTCCGGTCCGTTACGATAGGCGAGAGAGGATGTTGGATAGCGGGCTCTGGGAGTTATGATAACCTTTCTTGTTGTTTTTGGTTGCACTTGTTGCCGTCCAAGTTGTCGTTCAGATGTCTTGGTTCTTGTTGTTCTGCCTCCCTTCTTCTTGCCTCTCGGCTATGGCGGTTGTGCTCCTGGTTCTCCCTCCTTTCCACCCCCAGGGAACGTAATGCTGGATGGAGCAAACTTGTATTGCTTCCTTGTGTACTCTGCACCAGCCCTTTCTTTTACCCCTCTTCCTCGCTGGTCCTCCTTCCGGTGTGCTCACCTTGGTCATGCACACTTTGGGAGGGAGGGCGGAGGCGTTACAGAGAAAGAGGTGGGCGTGGATGGAGTATGGTTTGGAAACGTGAGGGAATGGTGGGTTGATTTGATGGGAGAAATCAAGGTAGATGGGAATTGGAGAGAGTTTGGATACTAGGTGAATGTGACAGTATCCTCGGTCGTGGCTAGAGGAGATCAGAGGCAGGTGGTGAAAGCCAAGGGGGCATCGTCTTTGTCACAACGAGCAGGAGGAATCCATTCATTCAACCTTTGGAGAACGGGAGAGGGGCGAGATGGGAGTGAAAGAAAAGCGTTCGGCCGGGCTGGATGGTTTTATGTGTACATGTTACGCATGTGCATCTCGCAACATGGGTCCTTCAGATTCTTTTGCCTTAGCCTCCCTTCTATGCCGTCGTTGGCTTCTCTGCGCCCGAAAGAGCATCTAGCAGATTGCCGCATTCGGACATGGGTTGAAAGCGGCGCCGGGCAGCCGTACACCATCCTTACCAAAGCCTCCATGCCACTAGCTGGCGATTCATCTGTTGGCCCTGCTGTTCTGTCTGTTTGGCCGCCTTTGGTTAAAGCGAGCGAGGAGCCTGACTGCTGATGCTGGGTACTAGGCTCTGCCGCTGCTGAACCGACCCGGCCGTCGATGGACGGATACCAGGTGGCCAATAGTCAATACCCACTGCCATGCCAGATCAATTCGGTATTGTGTACGGAACTAGCAGCCATTCAGCAGCCATTCAAGTAGGCAGTAGACACGCACATGCACACGCATGTTCCCATACACACCCACCCATGGAGAGAGCCCCGGACAGGAAGAAGGAGATGAAGAGGGGCACATGGCGTTGCTTGTCAACGACCAACAGGGGATTTGAAGCAAGGATATACATGCCTGGGTTGAGAGACCCGTCGGTGCGATGATGATGCTTGCTACGGCGATGGCATGGGGTGGGGCATCGTTGCGAGGGCTTCTTTTGGCGTTGATAGCAGCTCAACGTCCAAATGAGGACAAGATGTGCCATTTCCTGTTGACTGATCGCATCGTTCCAGTTCGACAAGGGTTTGTGTCTCTCCCCATCTCTCTATTAAACCTCCCCCCACTAGTTCATGCTAGTAGCCGGACAGATATTGTCTTTCCACCTAGGTAGGTAGATGAAAAAGAGCACAGAATCTAGGTAGTCTGGACGCTGTCTTTCCTCCTCGTCTTGCCTCCCTGCCCATGTCTCTCTTTTGACATGCAGGTTTCTAAGTTTCTGACCCCATCCATGGTTTCTTCTTAATCCACCCCTACCAAAGTTAAGCCACACTTCATCCCATCACCTGTCTGTGCCCGTCTTGCGTATCTCCCTACCCTTCGAGATGGCCGGATTCATCTTGATTTTTCCCTCCTCTCCAAAACGGCTCTTGATAGGTTACCAGACACAGGGCAAGACGATATGATACAGGATGTTGGAACAAACGCGGGTGCATCAACACCGAAGTAAGGGGGTTATATGTCGAGACCAAGGTGGAGGTCCATCGCGAGATTTTGACGATGAGCGCGGGGGGAAGGGGGAAAAAAAGAAAGAAAAAAAAAGGGGGGGGGGGGGGGGGGGGGTTGATACCGTAGTAGATTCAAGGAAAGAGGAAGAAACAACAAGAGACTTGGGTGGAGGAGAAGAACGCATGAGACCCTCCCCTTCGCAAGAAGCTGGAATGTTTGTTTGCTCGCTATGCTGCCGGAATCGTGGGTGGCGCCTTCTATGATTGGCCTTTTCCAAAAGCAGACTGTGGCGCATTCCACACGTCTTGTCTTTCAGTGTGTGACATGCGGGGTTCAATGGATGTCTCTACGTGGCGCTGTCCCTGCTGGTGGTGTCAATGTCTTCTTCCGTCATCTCATCTCTCATGTCATCTCGTCCCGTTTCGTCCCAAGTTTTCAATCGGCCACTTTCAATATCATGAACCACCAACATCATCAATACGATCGACCTCTATCTATATTTCAGTCAAGTAACCAAGTGGTCTGATACGGGGCCCTTGTCCGCATGCCAGCCAAACTTGCAGGCTTGTTGAATTGCCCAAACCAACAGGCGGCACCGCAAACATTGCACGCCTTGCCTAAGCGTTCATCTGGAATTTATTAGTCATCACCCAATGCACCTACTAGTAAATACCTCGGCCTGTCCTCCTCGACTCTAGCGCTCTTCACCATGCAGAGACCATTTTTCCCATATTTGTTTCCTATTCAAGGCTCACATGAATGGGAAACAGCATCGAGACATCGTCTCGGCGTCCGGGGATCCTTAGGTAGACAAAAACACTCAGCACGCAGTAAATCTCCAAGATTTGAATCCGATATCACGCATGTCGTTCTGTGCCTCCAAGACTGCTCCTACCAAACCACCTCATCCAAAAATCGCCTCCTTCTCACACATCCCTCTAAGCTGTAGTTGGGGAGTCTTTTTTTCTAAAACAGTCTCCCTCCTTTAAATTTTCGCTACCGCAGCTTTCATCCAGTCTAGACCCAGATTTCGAAGGCAACAACCCAGCTGAGGGTAGAATCAAATCTTAATGCAAGAGTTTGCAGATGTAGGGACCAGACCGAGAAGATTTTGCCGGAGAAATGAGCCCCCCCGGACCATCCGGATAGCCCGCCGTCGCCTCCCGCTGTAGCTGCAGATGTAGATTGCGGGAGAGCTGTCGGCCAGTCTGGTCCAGCTGCGTCCAGTCCAGTCCAGCTCAGGCAGCCTCGCACCATGCCCTCTAGCTTTCAACCAGATTTCCCCATCCCCTTCAGTCTATGTGGTGCTTCGGAACGCCACAGCAAGTCGCCGCGTAGTCTACACATCCTCTGGCCCGCGCACACCTCACTCGTCTTTTCCTCTGCGCTTGCGGCTTACTCCTGCAAGACAAGCTAGTGTACGCCACGTCTTCGTCCGTGCAGCTTAGCTCGGGATCTAGCACTAGAGCCGATTCGGTGATTCCATAGTAAGCTTCCTAGTGCCATGCCCTGGCCTGAATCTTGACGGCGCCCCCGTTCGCTCTCACCTCCCTCTCCGTAGGTATGTATGCACACATGCACTAGATATACGCGCGACAGCGACGGTGTGGCGGTATTGGCTGTTTGCCGGCCAGTGCCATCCTGAGGCTCTATACCTACCCGGGGTGCATGAGATCGCTTCGAGTCAGAATATACCTCATGTGCGACCAAGCCCTGGTTGTAGACGCTCATGTCCCGCCACACACACATACACACACACACACATACCCATTCACACACGTTCCATTCATGCAAGGCACCTGCCCTTGCAGCAACCATACGTATTCCAGCCTGTAACGGCCATCCACCCGGCCTTTGGTCCTCTAAGCCTGACGCTTGACACTTCAATGACGCCTGTTGAAAACTGACTGCTCACTGGCCATCACCTCCGCTGCCGTCGCCGCCGTCGACTTCCACCGTACCCAACAGAGCATAACGGCTCCGGTGTTTACCCCATGTGTAGAGCAACCGGATCCTGTGTTGACATCAAGCCAGTCCATATCTATGTCAACATGTCTCGCCCCGAGCCCGTCCCGTTTAGGCCCGTCGCCTGCCCTCCATTGGCCTGCTCACTCACCCTCAGGGAACGTGCATGGACAGGCGTGCAATCTTCCCTCCTCCCATCTGGTCGTCAGCTCAGATTATGTTCCAAAACCCCGGGGCAGGAATACGCTCACCTGTCTTCAAGCGTTGTCAAACCCATCGTTGCTGAGACCTGAAGCCAGCCAGTGGTTATGTAGTCAACGACAACTGACGGTCACGAAAGGCGAAATGACAGGAGCAGTGTCTTTCTGGAGACATCCCCCATTCTTGTAATTGTCGTGTTGATGAACCCATCTACCATCTCTGAAACTCCAAGAGAGACATCTTTGAGATCAATGAAGATGAGATGACGTGGGCTTGCCGGAGCCGCAACCGTGTACCATGCCTCTTGCTGTTCAATCCCGTAATCTTCGTGCGTGACGTGTGGCAACCACTGCAGTCGCTTTTGCCCAAACTCTCTTTTCAGCCTGTCTTGGAACCAAGGACGTCGGCTCGTGGAAATGGAAATGAAGGCCGAGGTGACAGCTCACATTGGCGCCACTCGTCCTTCTCCGCCTGTAGGGCGTCAGGGCCGACCATTGACAGCCGAGCGTCGGCATACAGCTATGCAGCCAGCACAGTCGCAGCCAGGTTTATTCCCGGCGGAGGCGGGTTGCTGCCGAGACATGCCCGGACCTGTCAATCCTACAAACAGATTATACACATAGCCAGACGTGGTCTCGCTTACGACTGGCGCGTAACGGCTCTGCGCCATGCGAGGTCTCGCACTGCAAATGGCAGCAACGATTCCATCCATCATTTGCGACGAAAACCTAGCGTCATCTCCTACGCCCTGGATCTCCTCAAATGGTGTTTCTTGTAACTATTCGGTTAACGTAGAAAGCTTCTGTCCCATGAGTGGCTTGGACGTGTGAATCTGCTAGTCATTGGTAGGCTAAGTCATTGTACATCTATCCATACACGTCCAAGAAGTCACATCCAGACTGTCGTGAGAGACCATCCAGCGAACACCCAGCCCATAAGGTTATAAGACTTTCAATGCAATCCTCACGCATTCACGCAGCCCTGGAGGGGTTCGGTTGCAATTCCGTGCTCCTGGGCCACTATTACGTCTCACATGGCTTCAGGACTTGCCTTTGGCGGCTGCGGCCTACGGGCTGGCTCGGCGGGCTTGATCGGTGGTGTTAGAATTTGTTGTCGTGGGGAGGGCGAAAGCGTTGCTACAGGCGGCAGCACGGCTGGTAGAACAGGTGTTTTGACGCTGGGTGGCTGTGGACGTGGCATAGGAGGGGAATGCTTGGTTGGGGACAGACCGCCCTCTGGAGCGGGCAGCGTGAAAGACGAATGTGCTGAGCCGGGAATGCCGTGCTCTCGACTGATGATAGGCGTGGCCATCAAGCTTGAGTTTCCGTGCCTGGGTGATGTTGGGTCGATAGGACCAGGTGTCTTTTCGACACGGCTTAGGTGTGCCGGCAACTTGCTGCTAACATCATTTGCGGATGGGCTACTACCGGTGGAATGCCGATGGGATTTATCACGATCTTCGTCGAGCTCACCCTTTGGAGTTGCCGGCCTGGGACTGAGCGCCTCGGCTAATTGTACTCCATTGGCTTTGTCCAGGGATCCAGAGGAGCCAGCGATAGGAGAACCATCACATGGAGAAACCCCCCTTTTTGACTTCAGGAGTCTCGTGCCCCGATTTTCCGTTGGTGAGCATGCCACTGTCTGGAGTTGGTCGATTCCCGGCTTGCCAGTTTCGAAGGCTTGAGCTGCCTCTGGTTTAATGACTGGAATCTCTACCGCCAGCCCCGAAGACGAGAGGCGGGTGTTGCTTTCGTCGAGAGACTGCTTCGACGGCGAGGATAACGCATCGGTTGGGCGATGGACTTTGAGCTTGATGGTGGTCTTTGGCCTTGCCGCCGCCTCAGCCTCACGCCGCTTGCATGACTGACAGATCAGATGAAACTCTGGTTTCTCAGCTTCGTTCTCGCTTATACCGAGGCACTTGCTGTGTTGCCAGACGTTGCACCTTTCGCAAGCCACACTGTGTGTGCCATCGTCAATTTGACCGTAGACACCGCAGATGCAATCAAACATCCAATCATCTTCTTCATCTTCAAGCTCTTCAAGTGCTCGCTTGTTTTTCTCAATCTCAGCTTGCAGCCGCCGTTCTGATATGCGGCCTGAACCACTGCGGTTGTCCTCTGAAAGCTGAGAGAGCTCCCGTTCGTGCTGTAAACGGCGGGATTCTCGATCCTGGAGTCGCTTTTCTCGAGACATGAGTCTCGTGTCCCGCTCCTTTTCTAGTTTGATTCGTTGCTGCTCCTCCTTCTTTGCAGCTGCTCGTTGAGCCTGCAGTAGTTTAGCCTCTTCTAGGGCTTTTTCCTCTTGCTTCTGCTGCTCAGCCCTATTCGCAATGCGGCTGGATCGTTTCGCATTTGCCATCTTGGCCAGATTGTGGAGCTCCCTTTCTCGCTGTTGCTCCTTGCGTTTCCTCGATTCTTCCTGTCTCTCTAAAATGGGTAGAAGATGCTCTTGGAGCTGATCTCGAAGAACCTTTTCGTTGTCATCCTTGGTCTTGTGGAACGAAGCGATGATTCCCCGTACATCTTCCAGACTCACAGCAATGCATTCCCATCTCAAGCCGCCAAGTCCGTTGTCTTCTGGTGCGGAAACAGCGTCATCAGCCGGGTTATCCACGGATTGGTCTTCATCCGTGCCGTTTGCTGCAGAGACCCGCCGTCTCTTGTTGGACCGAGAGCCGTATCTGGCGACTTTCGACTTCTTCTTGGGTGTCATCGGCTTGGGAGGTGGCTCGGTCATGCGATAGACTCGGTTATCGTCTAGTACGAAGTACGTACGGTCGTCCTTGTCCCAGCCAATTGGCTCTATCCGCTATTCACAACTGTTAGAAATTCGCTTGGAACCCAACTACAACAGCACTCACCCAGCTAGCTTGGTCGGTATCCTTCTGCTCTTCCATCTTCTCCCTGATGCGTTCTGGGCGGCCCATGATCCATTGTGTCATTTGTTGAAGGATTTGAATCTACGCAGGGTCAGCGGCGCGCACAAGCTTCGAGCTTCCATCGAATATTGCAATACCTTGGTTAAGACATCGAAATCCGCGAATTTGGCCGCGGTCTCGCCCGTTCCGAATGGGTTCTTCTCGGGAGCCCTTGCTAAATATTGTCGTCGTGTATACTCATCGAATAGCTCATGTCTGCGACATCTTAGTATGCGGGGTGAATATGGGCATATCGAACCCGCTCATCAACGTACGTTAAACCGCGATGCGACGAGATAAACTTCAGCAAAGCAAGTCCTATGTCCTGGAGGATGGGGGCATTCGGCTTCAGACATTCGGCCTCGATATCCTGAGCGACCTTTTGTCAGCGAATGAATGGACCGGCAAAGCCAAAAAAATATATAAAAAAATAGGGGCAGCTTACCTCTGTATCCAGATTGTCATCGATCTTGACGACCTTGCCGAAGAGGTAAATCCATTGGCACAGATTGGCGAATTGCCATTGGTGTCGAATGCGATGGAGCAACGACGGCTCCTCGTTTTGGATGACGTCTTCGGCTCCCTGCAATGTTCGTTTACGTGAGGAAAGCATTATAGTTGCGATACGTTGGAAAGGTAGAGCAACGAGCCGACGCAGCGAAGGGCCCAGGACAGTATGGTCGGTCGGTTTAGACGTCGCCGGCAGTGGCGGTGGATCTCGTGGGGCTCGTCTTGAAGAGTCGCGTCATTGACACAATGCCGTCTTGCAGAAAGACACCTGGTGAGGCCGAGAGACAATAGTCTCTCAGCAGTTAGGTTGGAAGGCGGCAGGTGGTTGGCCTACAGCAGGACAAGGCAAATGCTTGAACTGAGCTGTACGGATTGTAATCGGGAGGCAAGGCGGGTGCCGGTGAAAAGCAGTCAAGCTTAATGTCGAAGGGCAGGTGTTGGAATGCCTAGGTAGGTAATAGTGGCAGAGACAGTCCAGAGTCGATTGTGAGGCGCAGTGAGAGTTTGCTGCCAAGGTGTCGAGAGATTGATCGCGGTGTAAGGAAAGGTATTGCAACGCTTCAAAGTACCGATACGTAGCGGATGTAATCAAATTATCTGCAGCGTGGATGGGCATTGGTCCAGCTGTCTGTGTACCTTGATCTCATCAGGACTGGGCGCGTTTTGGGCCGCGGCGTCTGCGTGGGTGGCATCGGAAACGTGTCCGTGCTGTACGCGCCGCACTGGAAGAGGCCGGGTCAGTTTGATTACATAATACAAAGTTCACCGGAGCTTTGGACTAGGCGGGGGCACCCGACGGGGCCCGTGAATGAAGGTAAGTTTGGGAGGGGAGACTCCGGACAGCACGGCCTCTTTCTGCAAACTGGGTTCAATTTCAATTTCAATTTTTTCTTTCCTTCTTTGTCTGTCTCTTTCTTGGGCTTCGGCTTTGCCTTCCAAGTAGTGGACTCTGCTCTTGTTCTTGGCAGGCCTCAGTTAGTCAGTGGTGTCAAAAAGAGAATCAAATACTTCATAAGCAGGTAAGGTATGCGGCGCATGCGTATAGCTAGCCATCTACATATCTATTGATACCTCGCGACAATTGCACAGCGTTTGACTCCAATTTAGGTAGGTAGTCACCTATCTCAATTAGACGGTGTGGAATAGACAGTGTACGATGGACATGGGACAGTAGTACATGGTACAGTATGGGCCTGAACTTTTGACGGCGACAGTCAGAAGAACGGAAAAATTACCTACAGGTATGTAATCGTAGCCTCTAACGGATTGGCGTATCCGACGCGTGCTGCTGGGCACCTGCCACTTTTTACAGATATGCCCTCTGTACATAGTAGGGATTGGGGTTTCTCCCCCCCTACTTTTGAAAATCATAGGCCCCTCGGTTTCAACTTTCTGGACACGCCTGGAGAAATATGTGATGCTTAAAGTCTGCTGCAGTCCTCCTCCCTAAGAAGACTACCCTTGATTAGCACGGGCCAGCATGGCTAGCAGCAACTGTCCTCTGCAGCCTGTGGCATGCCATTCATGCGTGTGCCGTTCTTCCATGGGCTGCCGTCCACTCAGGTGACAAAAAAGAGAGCCGGTTTTGAAGAACCTTATCTTATAGCCCTATTGCTTTTAAATACCAGAGAATAGGTCAGATAAATACTTTTTTACACTTTATAATCTTTCTTTTCTTAGGAGGACTCATAAACGTATTTTTTAACGAGTAAAAAGCTGTATTGCTGATTACAGGAGCTGTAGTACTGGTGGTGAGGGTGGCTGTTGTGTAGGGGGAAACCGGCTCTCTTTTTTGTCACCCGAGTGCCGTCCTATCCCCGTCCCATCGTCTCAGCCTGGAAAGAAGCTGGGGAATGCCAGGGGAAGGGAACGACAACGCGCTTGGCCGGACGGACAATACGTACACGCAGCCAAAGACAGGGGTCCGGCTGAAGCCTGGCAGTTTCGAGACTGCGTGGGGACAGTGAAACACGCTTTCGGTGCACACTGTAAAACTACGCGCAAGGCCCCTGATGGCAGCTCGTGTCCTTGAACTACTTACTGCCTCGTCATCGCAGGGCTTCCGGATTACGGTCGCTGATAAGTCATTAGTGCCATCACTGCCTGGAATCTGAAACCGAAAATAGAACTTTCTCCGACTGCCTTATGGAGCCCCGTCTCGCAAGTCTCGTCACAGTGTTCAAGTTCTCCAACACTGGCCAAGCTAGCCATGGATGGTCAAGTCAGCCTCCCTCTCTTTGCCTCCCAGCTAGCAGCAGACATCAAGACGAATACACTACACAATTGCCAATATTGCGGCTGCTACGCTCAACTCGCTCTTTTTCGCACCTCGGATTACCGGACCGACCAGACCAGGACGGAAGCGCAACCCGTACATTTTAGGAACACGACATCCAAACCGATTTGCTTTGGTGACGTTTGACTTCACGATTCCCACTTGCGACCTTCCCTCGACGGTTTGTCAACACTCAAAGAAAACTTGGACTCTCCCTTCACTGCCCGCGGGTATTGATATTTCCCATAAGTTAGGCCCTCCACGCCAAACAATACACGCTGTCGTTATCTCCAGCAGTGCGATCCCGAACTGAGCCAGAGTCATTCTCTTGTATACGAGTAAAGATCCCGCGCCTCGACATGCGCGCAATCGTCTTTCTCCGATAATTCTGGATATGCGATCCGTGGGTTACGTTGTTTTTCGACCGGCTTAGAGTCAAAACACGCACCCGCTTGCGTGCCCTGGCCTTGGTCGTCCACCGTCCGTGTATCTTGAAGGGGAAAAAGAAGTAATCGCTCAGACGCCACCTCGAACCTCTGCCTCGATGCAGAACAATACATCTTACTCCTACGAGATGAGTTCACGGCAGGATGAATACCCAGGTCCCGACAGGGACCGTCTGCAGGCAGACTCCCAAGCCGAATCCCAGCGCGGCCGTCCAGGCCGTCCGTCCTCGACAGCGCCTCAGACGCAAATGTCTGCCAACGGACCCGGACTTTCGACATACTGGGAACAACCCTATGCCCAGTCCAACAGCTCTGGTGGTCCCGAATCCCCGATTGATCCTTCTGCACTGCAATTTGCACTCCCGCCCAATATCAATCAACCCCTACCGATACCGCGCTTGAACTCCCCCTCTCTTGACTCTCTTGACCGGCCTTCGCCGTACTTCGATGAGGCCACGAACCCCGACTACTACGAGGATAGGGTGCCGCTTACATCCAGAGCACAACCCATATCTGGGTCTCTCAGCGCAAATACAGATGAGGCTCAACGAAGAGACAGTTTCCAGACTGTATCCGATATCGACAACACTCCTTCAAGGACGCGGGACGCCAGATCACTCGGGTACGGTTTGGATTCCGGCGGTCGTCGCCCGAGTTATGGAGCAACACTCAGTCCTGGGGGGGAGCATAGACGCTCTCGCTCGCCCTCTACTGCCAGCGCACTCTACAGAGCTGGCTCCATTATGCGAGCCATGTCTCAGCGTGTGGTCAATATTAGCGGCGAGGGCGAGCTTGTGGACCACAGGGCGTCAAGCAGCCGCTCCCCGTCCCCGGCATCAAATCGCCGCCAGCAGTTACACACCTCTGCTCAGATGTTCACCGACCCTTTGTACCACTCTCATGCCTCCCACGTACCCGAGAAGGCCCCCCAGCCGGAAAACGTGTTCGCCGACCCCCCTCCGCCTATCCATCGGGTGCCAATGAAGAATCCGCTGAAGGGGAAGTCGTTGGGTATCTTCCCTCCTGACCACCCGATTCGTACCAAGCTTTGCGACCTTCTGGTTCATCCTTTCACCGAGCCCTTTATCCTCATCCTCATCATCCTGCAAGCCAGTCTCCTGGCTGTAGAATCAGCACCAGATGTCTTCACTCATCCACGGCCTGCAAAATGGGGGGTCACATGGATTGACTGGGCAATGTTGGTTCTCTTCATTATATTCACCCTAGAGTTGATCGCTCGCATATTAGTCTCGGGCTTCCTTTTAAATGCCTCGGAGTACAGCACCATTGATCGCCAAAAGGGTGTACGAGCGGCAGTTGTCGAGCAGTACAGGAACATCTTCCAGCCTCAGCGACAAAAGTCCGTCAAGGCGCCACGGCAAATTAACCTCGGCCCCTCTGCGTTCCAACGATCATTTACTGTCATGCAGGGCCAAACACTGCCCCAGACCGTCGAGGAGCAGCAGAGGTTTCAGCTTGCCCGTAGAGCCTTCCTGCGACACTCGTTCAACCGATTGGATTTCCTCGCCGTGGTTGCCTACTGGATCTCTTTCGCACTCAGAATCACCGGAATCGAAAGCGAGAGACATCTATACGTCTTTCGGATGATTGCTTGCTTGCGCATCTTGAGATTGCTAGCCTTGACGAATGGCACGGCGGTGAGAACCTCACCTCCCCACTAGCATTGTTCACTACTAATGCCCATCCTAGATTATCCTCAGAAGTCTCAAGAAGGCAGCGCCGTTGCTTGTTCGGGTGGCTTTCCTAATCGCTTTCTTTTGGATTCTGTTTGCCATCATAGGAGTGCAAAGTTTCAAAGCCAGTTTGAGTCGGCAGTGTGTTTGGCTTGATCCAACAGACCCGACCAATAAGGAGAAGTCCTTCACAAATGAACTGCAATTTTGCGGTGGTTTTCTCGATAACGTTACAGGGGAGAGTATGCCTTGGGTTTTCCCGGCAGACCCCAATATCCTGAGTAATTTCACAAACGGGAGCAAGGCTGGCAAAGGCTTCCTTTGCCCTCGTGGCTCGATATGCCTCCAACAAGAGAACCCATACAACGGCACAGTTAGCTTCGACAACATTGCCCAGTCGTTGGAGATGGTTTTTGTTATCATCAGTTCCAATACCTTCAGCGACATCATGTACTATACGACCAACTCCGATTACCTGCCTGCCGCCCTCTTCTTTGGCGCTGGCATCATGATCCTCATGCTGTGGCTCGTGAACTTGCTCATTGCCGTCATTACGTCTTCTTTCCAAGTCATCCGGGAAGAGAGCAAGGCGAGTGCATTTACAGCGACCGAGGAGCCTTTGATGCCCGAATCCGTGGACGAACCACCCCCCAGAGTGTCTGCCCTGCAGCGAATCTGCGACAAGACA